GGCCGCGGGGCAATCCGGCACTCTGACAATCGTCACGGCGTGTGGAACGGACCACCGGCTGTGATGGGTTTACGCCACCGCGAAACAGCGACCGGACCGCGCTGGTCACGCCGCACTGGTCAGAGCTGAGCCGACCACTGGTCTGTGGTCAGAAGACGGCCGAGTGGGCGGCACTCCCCGCGGCCCGGCCCCCACCCTCCGGCAGACCCTCTCCCTCTCCGCCGGCCGCAGCAGCAGTGTCGCCACAGAGGGGCAGCTCCTGAGGAGTCGCCACAGGGCGGCAGCTCCTGAGGACCGGTTCTCGGCCCGCAGCTAACAGTCGGGCAAGGCTGCCAAAGAGCTGCCGCTCACCAAGTATGGCCGCCGACGGGCTGCAGCTCACGAACTGAATATGGCTGCAGCTCGGAGTACAGACACGACTGTGGCTGCAGCTCAGCGTCTGGATATGACTGTCGTGGCTCCACGCCAAACTTGCCAGCTCTCCTCCCCAGTGGAGTGTGACCATGATGCAACTTATCGCTGCAAGACGACAGTCTGATGTCGCATCCACTGCTGCGTTTGATATAGGTACTGCAGGTGACAACATTTGGCCATGACGTCATTGCTACCCGATTTGTACATCTGGCTAGGAAGTAGGAACGCAATATATTTTCCAGTTTTCCAGTGAGAGTATTTTCTGACTTTTCCCTTGCATTCAACTTACAGCTTATGACGTACCGAAATGTTGGAGAGAGAGAGAGAGAGAGAGAGAGAGAGAGAGAGAGAGAGAGAGAGAGAGAGAGAGAGAGAGAGAGAGAGAGAGAGAGAGAAAGAGAGAGAGAGAGAGAGAGAGAGAGAGAGAGAGAGAGAGAGAGAGAGAGAGAGAGAGAGAGAGAGAGAGAGAGAGAGAGAGAGAGAGAGAGAGAGAGAGAGAGAGAGAGAGAGAGAGAGAGAGAGAGAGAGAGATTTTCACTCAAAGGCTAGTTGGATGATCCGTGCAATGACGAGCAGAAAAAGCATAATGACTTTCTGCGTGGTCTTTCTATTGCTTTTCAGAAGGTCTTGTAACTGAGATTTCGGATATGTAGTAAACGGGAATCAGCATGTAGCTGCATGTGCTCTGAGATCTAATTCAAATGATGCATATTATTTCTTATCGCTAAGTGTGATCCAAATTATAAATTGATTATAGTTTCATGCAGATTGACGAAAATAATACACGCATTAAATGTTCACCATTACCTACCGAATAGCTTTGTTTTAATCCCAATAACCATCAGATATTTATTTACACTGGATAATCCTCCTGTAGCAGATGTTTTCGAAAGTTGGCGATTATGTTATTCGTCTACAGGTTATTATTGACATCGGCTTACGTTTTGTCATCCACTTGTTGGACTGGTGGCATGTAGTGGAGAGGATTGTAGTTTTTGCTTCTGATCTGCGCACGTACTGGGTGTCGCCTAAGTTTTTGTCTCGTGTGTTATACGCGAGCGGTGCTGTGTGATGAAGTGTATACCTATGACAACCAAAACACGTGGCGGCCCAACACGTAGCGAAAACAAATATGTAGTCGTCAATGCCGCAATTTTATCACAATAATTAAGAACCACTCAAATACGTTAATTTTTTCTATCAACATTTGTCATGCTAAATTTTATGATTATTTAAAATTCTAGCAACCAAATTTTATATGGCGGAGGAATTTGGACTAAACAAATTTACTGGAAAATCAAGTTATTCGCAGATAGGAGATTATGACGAGTGACGTGAGCTGTGAATCTGTATGAACCTTGCATTTAGCAATCGGTGACGGCACGCTATCGGCTGCCGTTACATCACCCCAACGGACATCTCATCACCGCAGCACCCCGGCTGAGCTAACGGCCGCAGGAATGAGGAGTGAACGGATCAGAGAGGAGCGTTTAAATCGAATGCAAGCCTCCGATGACGGCACTGGTAGTCATCCTCTAATATATGGCTGCCCGAGCGATCAGCCGCACGACCTTCTAAGGATCAGCAACAGCCACCATGCAAATTCATTTATCCGCTTTGCATCGGCAGAGGCTGTGATGTCACTGAAACGCCCTTCATCAAGGTCGCTGGGCATTGTTTGAGACACCACATGTATGGCATGCAATGCGTCACGATCGTCTTCGACATATATCCGCATATCTGAGATGTCAATCGGCTTGTTTTCCAGCTGTCTTGAACTTGTTCCGAGTAAAACGAGTCAATCGATATAGATTTGACGTCGCTCACTGTTGGTACGACTACCCGATGCACGATCGAACACATCCTCCGGAAGCTGACGACCACAAAAGGTCCATGCGGTTTGGTGGTAGAGCGCAAGATTCATGCGACGGCCTTGTAAATACATTATTTTCATCGCAGCCGGAAATAGTTTGTAAAATATATATTATTTATTTTGGTATTTGTGTTTTGAGCTGGGAATAAACTGAGCACGACATTTGATGACGGGCAGTGACATTCACCCCCGTAAATTATAGAATGCCGAGTAAGTCCCCCTACACGGCATTTTACATTGATTCCAAGTATTTGCTGTATGCTCAGTAGCGGCGGAACACCTTCAATTAAGGGGGGCATGCACTGCCGACTTTTGGTCCAATTCTTTCCATGCAACACCCATATAAGGCCTAATGTTAAAATGCCAAAATCAAGGAGCGGGGGGGGGGGGACACGGTGCTCCGGTACCCTCCCCCCCGTTCCGCCACCTATGTGTAATTGTTGTTGCCTGTTGCGCAGTCAATGTAAGGATAATTGAGGCAAAGAGTAAAGGTTCATTTGCTTAAAAGACGTCTTTTAACCAGAAAGAGGAAGAAACTGTTGTCAGCATATGTCAACTTGGCAACGTCGGTCATCGACATATCCATGAGGGCTTCCTCTATAAAGTTCCGTTGATTTACGAATCGATAAGAACCGGTAACACTGCATTCATTTCAGCTGTCCTAAGATGACCATCTAGCAAGGTTATCGGAGGCTAAACAGTAAAACGGCCAGTCCACTGGTGACGTAGGCATGGCGAGCTCATCCACCATGATATAATCTCGGGGCACGACTGGCAAAAAATGTAAATGACTGTCCAGAAGCCTTCATTAGCGCTCTCATAGTTCCGTAAATAGAAAAAAGTAGCTATATGCTTGACTTATTGACGCTTTCATCTGATTGCAAGCAATATCATTAACGACGCCAACGAGGAAGACTGCCTAAATGCCCGAGTGCATGAAAAGCCGTAACATGCACGGTAAATATAATTGTCTCTTGGTTAGACTTCGAAGGACTAAGCGTTACTATCGAGTCCTCACTGGCAGATAAGTAAAATGGACGTCTCTCTGAAATGACCTGCCCTGTTTTTCCAACGTAAGCAATTACACAATTATTCATAACATGTGGCTACACCTACGAGCATAACCAACAAGTGTCTACCTCAACCCATCACAACCTATCAAAACACCTTTTATAGCAGCCCCCCAAATTTAAGTTAAGCCTCACGGAGCCACTGAGCTCTATTGACGACATCATCTGGATGAGCTTGCTGGCCGCAGCTCTGACCAGAGCTCCTAATGGAGCCGAGGAATGCCGTTCCTCTCTGTGTGCCGGTCCCGCGCTGACTTAGTGCAGCCTTGGCCGGCGATTTTTGCGCTCTCCCTCCTCTCCCTCTCCTCTCCCTGCCGGATGGTGGGGGTGGGGAGACGTCACACCGGGGGGGGGGGGGGGGGGGAGACCGGTCCCGCGGGCCGCAGGGACGGTCGTACAACCGCGCGAGAGGTTGCACTGGAATGCTGAGGACACTCTACTGCGCCGGCAGTGCACTGAACTCGTCAGTCGTCATCTTTGCTTTCTGTCACTTTTGGATACTAAAACTCTTCAATTTGGCACCTACCTATTGTTTCTATCTTCGTGTGTTCCAACACTCAACAGCCCTTCCATCAACAACAGCCATTGCTCTAACTATATGATATTAAATTCCAACACCACTGCGCGACCCCTGAATTTCCAGCCACTTCTGCGACATAACACGCCTTCGAGGACGAGCAGTGCTCAGTTGCCTTGGAACACGGGCCAAGAACGCTGATACACGGGCGAACAATGAGGCTAAGACCGCTGTCCAGGCACTAAACGCCCCATAAATTACCCAGAAACGGAGGAGAAGCGATGGCTGTGCTAATTCTCTACGCCTTTGGGCTGAATGAACCGTGTGATACAATGAAAGGAGAAAGGGCCAATAATTTAGCTCACATTTGGCAACTTTTATGGCCTATTAGTCAATCTGCCAGCACATTTATCATGTTTGTTGCCAGAATCAGGATGGCTAAACCATGCCATGCGTTCATACTTGAACCGCTTTTCAGTCAACTTCTTGCTTCTATAACCGATTAAAAAATATCCCTCGTTTGTTCCCTGTAATCGTGCGTCTGTTGCGATCTAATTCTCATTCGTTCTTATGGAATTTCGCAACTCTTGATAATAATCAACAATATTTTACTGTTATTAAATGCTTTGCCTAGCTAGAATATTATAATTCATACGGAACTTTTAGATTCCACGGATTGAAACTTGAAATCGCAGCCTACGCCATCAATTCGGAAGAAATCCGGGACCTCCGTCAAAGCCTGTCGGTGGGGTGACGCAGATTCCACACAGGCGGATATACGGCCGGGCCCACCGGTGGCGGTGACCTTGGGGTACCACGAGCAGAGCCGAAATCCACCGGGGCTGCAGCCGGGGGTAGAGGTGGACGGACACTGGACAGACACCAACGCTGATCGATCGTTGGTTTGAAACAGTCGCCGGGGATGAACAATTGAAATATACCGTTGAACTTGTAAGGCGAATGCCGGCATGGCTTCTCAACCAAAATCTGAAATTCCGGAAACACAAACTGGTGGTTCTCAGTGATTGGAACTCAGTTTATCTTATCAGACTTCCCTCAATCTGTAGCTAAGAGAGACACTTAAACCATTTGGCCCTTCATTGACCCTGTCAATCTCTGTTTCCAGCTGTTCCACTTCTGTCCACCGCGCGGCCTGGGCCGATCTGCAAACGGCGAGGATCGTCCGGCCGCCTTCCTCTGCACACCCGGCTCACTCTTCAACCAGCAGTACGGAGTGTGCGACCACTGGTTCAACGTGGTCTGCGAGCGGGCACCGCAGTACTACGGCCTCAACAAACTGCTCTACGAGAAGAGCCTCACCGGGGACTGGCTGGTCGGAGACTCCGCGGGCACCTCCGCGTAGGAGGCTAATCGGTGTCCTGCATGGTAGAAATTCAGCAACGCAGCTTCAGCGGGAGTGTAGCCTTCTAGATTCATGGACAGACTGTTTTGTCTTTATAAAGTGATGCAATGCGACTGTAGAACTCGAACAGAGCTGTATATTCATCGTTCTATGTATGAGGTCACTGCAAGCAATCTCACAGGTCACAATCTCTCTCACCCCACGAGCTGAAGATGTAAGATATTAAGTACGTCATCGTTGTTGATATTCATTCAATACGCTATCAAAGCAAAATAAATATTTCTTTAGACCCCTACTAATTAGTCTGAGCTACAGTTTATGGGAGCCGCAGGGAGCGCCATTTCAACGTTTTTTTTTACATAGGTACTTTGTTTCATTGCAAAATCTTTAATTGAATACTTGCACCGTTGAAAGCAAACCTAGGCATGATTATATGCCTATTATATAAACCTATTTTATAGGTCATGTTCGTCTGATGGACCCTTACAAACACAATTTTTTTCTAGTGTTTGGCACTCAGCGGTGGCCTTATTTCACACAATTTTACCAGCCCATAGACACATTGCAGCAATATAAGATTGTTGTAAGGTAAGCAAGCTCCGTCAACTCTCATGGGCTGTGTATGTAAGGCTACGTGGCAGGCCCGTAGGTACCGCTCCGTTGCGACATGTCATATTACTGATTTGCAGAATGGTCGTAAAATTATCATATAAAACTCATCGCTCATAGGAAATATTTAACTGAAATACATATGATTATCAAAATAAATGCTTCTTTCACTGCGTTTTGTATGTTAAATTTAGATATGCCGATGCTGCCAAGTACCAATGTCCGGCCATTTCATGCCTGTTCATTTCGATATTTCTTACACTGGCAATTATATTAATTAATTAAATTGAAAAAACAAGTGCATGGACTAGAGCAAATATACCTACATTGCAAAGAATCTAAAATAGCGAATAAACTGAAAGAAAGGAGTGCAAAATAGATACTTCGATATAAGGGTAGTGTTTTATATAATACTGAACGAGGCCGGTGTAAATAAATTTTCAAGACCGAGGTCCTTACTGGATTTTTGAACGAGGCCGAAGGCCGAGTTCAAAAATCAGTAAGGACTGAGGTCTTGAAAATTTATCACCGGCCGAGTTTGGTATGTATTTTACTGTATGCCAACGATAAATTTATTTTCTGGACCGAAGCTCTTAGCCGACTTAGGAACGAGACCATCCCAAAATGTTCGCTTAAGTGCATTCTGGTAATGCATTTTTGACCGTGGTCAATTTGCTTACACCAGTTATTACCACCAGGGTATATAGAACAACGGGTACGCCAACGACGCGGAAAGCGCCCATTTTACCTGGATGAGTTACATGGTAGGTGATATATTTTTTGAATATGGAAAAAAATAGAGTATTCCATTCTGACGAGTAAAGCCAGATTCATAAAGTAGTTATTTTTAAAATATATGTACCAGAAAAAGCATACTAACCATAGTTTAAAACTTAGTCTAAAGTTAGTCGAAAAGCGTATAGTTGATACTAAGATGGAAGGAATCAATGGAAGGCGGAAATGGCGCAGCTGTTTCATTCTTAAAATGTGTTCGCAAGCAGGATTTACGTGATGCTAGCGACATCTATTAACGTAATTGGGGACGCTGATTGGCTGATGGAGTCCGTGAGCAGTATCGCTAATCTACGCTAGTACAGGGTTGAGGCAATGTGCGCATGCGCAGGAACTTGTGGTCTCATGGAGGGGCTTTTGGTACCTCGGGCAGCGCCCAATCAAGGCCCTCTAACCAGGTATGGACATCGGCCAATCGGGGCGAATCACGGCCGGCGGGAGGATGACGTCATCGGCCCATACTCCGCCGACTCCGCCCACCCACGGCAGCGAAACTGAATGGGGTTTGCGTCAATTGTTTCGTGATCGATTTTATCCAACTGGAATGCAATAAACGTTCAGCGGCCTCTTAACCGTTTGACTCAAAATCCTTGCAACCTTTCAACAGCAAAAATTGCAGCCAACTTTCTCTATTTTGCAGTCGGTGCCGACGGTACCGACTGCTGTACCTAAGCCGTGGGCCCGCCCGTAGCAAACGGGTAGACAGAAACTAGGTGACCAAAGCACAAAACCTGAGCTGTTTTGTACACGATCATTAGCATGTCATAGGTTGATATAAATGCCAAGCTATGCACAATGCACATTCGTGGCTAGACAGCATAGAAGTTAGAACCAAAAATACTGTCAACAAAATACTGTCAACTACTGAGTTCAAGCGCGGATCCAGCTTGGAGTTGGGGAGGGGGAGGGGGCAACTGTTCATCGACGGCGGACACAGTGACTGTGTGGAACTCATTGTAGTTTTGGTTATCGGCTCGGGAACGGTCGACGGCACTGTGCTGCTGCTAGGTGCCTCCTCAGTCGTTTGACGGGGCTCTGGAGCACCTGCTAAGCTTTGACTAACCGCTGCGGCTCCGGTGCCATCGGCTCAGAGACCAACAGGCTGTACCGGCCGGAACTGATCGGCGATTCTGATAGGCTGATAAAGTGATTCTGTTAGTGCGGGAGAGGCAGATGGAGCCTGGCCGGTGGGTTCTGCCTCAACGCGGGGCTGATGGGGTAAGGTGCAGCCCATATACAAAAAAGTAAAAGCGTTGGAAATATCGCTTCACAAAGTCAGAGCATTTAGCATGGAAACGCTATGGCCCTAGGAACTTAATGTCGTGGCGAATTTCGATGCAGCCAAATTTCGGCGGGGACTTGCATCCACCTGCCGCTGGTCAGCCGTGCCACGGACGCTCTGGACTTGTCGCTGCCGGTGCTGGCCGAGCTGGCCGCGCTCTGGGCCGACTGCGCCGAGCCACTGCGGCCATGGTGCCCGACCTGAACCAGTAGTAGCTGACGCCGGGGCGGCGCTCGGCGAGGCCGGTGCTAGTCGGAGATGGGGCCGCTGCCGGCTGCGGTGTCGCGCGGTGCAGCTGCTCGGCCCGCTGGCCACGCCGCCGCCACCGGCTTAATGGCAGACAGCTTGCAGGCGCAGCTGGCCGCCTGGAGTCAGCGGCCTGTGCTTGAGCTGGCCATGCCATTCGGCATTCGCTGACATGAAGACCAGCCAGTGACCGTATACATTCCTGCCGCGTGTCGTCCAGCTGGCGCTCAGCTCCGGCAACGCGGAGCTAAGACCTCCGGGCTCCGCGTGCCAGCTTGCTGAAAGCCGTGACCGCGTTCACACTAGGTGAACCGCTTGCTACACGGCGCTATCACGAATAAGGCATTTACGCGATAATAACCAGTTCAGAAGTCTTGTACTTAACGCGAAAAGCTGAACGAAGGGGTCCAAATGGGTGAATTCCAGATAAAAAGGTCAAATTAGGTCACGCTGGGTCATTTCAGGTCACAAAGGTCACTTTAGGTCACCTCAGGTCACCCTGGGTCAGGTCAGGTCAGAGGTCACCCAGGGTCACGATGGGTCAGGCCAAGTCACAGAGGTCACCTTAAGTCGCAATGGGTTGGATCACATTGGTCAGGGCTATCATGGGCCGATGACGTCATTCCTGCTCATCAGCTGGCTACAACATCGGCCTATGGCACAGCATTACGGTGTCACCCCCCTGCGCCCAATGCTTTTTGGACCTGTTATGGCCTCCGCATCGAAAAACGCTAGATAAAAAGGTTGTAGAGGAAGCTTGAGGCTACCTTTCCCCACAATAATATTGGCACTTTATCCTTTGGCTTACGTGTGGGACTCGCTTGAAAAAGGTCGATTTAACATGGAAACCCTATGGAGTAGTAGTTTTTGAGCGCCCATTTGGCCTAATGCTACCAACTGTTACTGGCTACCCCTGATTACCACACCCCTCTGGCTAATGTATTTGAATAGGCCAGGCATACAGTAATCGGACTTACTCTACCCACAGGGCATTGTCGCGCCAGCAGTTGCCTTTTCGCATACCTATATGTTTTGTATCATGACCGTAATTTTTTCGCAATTGTTTTCCTTTTAAATTGATATCTCGAGGTGGAAACAAGAAAATTTATTATGCCCCTTATTTATGTAATTGGACGTCTAGCCTCCGAATTTCTCAGAATTCCAAAGGCAATAGCCAATATCAGACGCCTTCATAATCAAATCGACGGAGAATGGTTGAGGCTGCAATGCACTTGGCACAAGATTTATAGGTATCTATCACCTTCTGCTTCTGACTCTGGTCAGGGATAGCTTTGTCAAGAACCCCGAAAGCCGTCCACATGCTAAATAAAAATAAATATGATCCTTGTTTTAGTTGATCACGTTGACGGCTAAGATAATTTTCGAAGATGAAATATATGCAGGCAGGGCAGCGTAAGCGGTAAACCGATCCAACATCACTAATCCCCTGCAGTCTTGTCACCAGTGCAGTTGAGGCGTTTGCATGCGTTGCTCATCCCTGGACAGCTGTTCAACCTTCACCAATAGCTGCAAGCGCTCTGTACCTCGATGCTAGCACATGCTAGAAATGCCCCCTGGCAGCGCCGTTGTGCCCCGAGGCGATACCGAGGTCACGTGACCGTCTCGGCGGGCGGCGGAGACCGCTTGTCCTTCCCTGTTGCTAAGCGAGTGGGGCATGGGGAGGGGAGGAAGGGCGAGCTACTGCGTGCCACGTGCAGTGAATGCGGTGCGGTCGTTCGGGGCAGTGACTTTGTAGGACCCGGGAATGAGACGGTGAATGAACGTGTGATTTGTTTGTTGCACTAACTCTACTTTCGAGAACAATCTCCGTGAAAGAATGGTGACAGGGACGCTACATAGCAGAGCGAACTTCCTTTGTGACTGCACGTTTCTCCAAGATAAAAATGGACTCATCGAGACATCCAAAGGTAAGTTATGCCCTAATTCAATATACCCTGAGATATGCCACCAACTGAACACCCTAAACACGGCTCGGTAGTATTATATCGTGGCTCTGTATGTCAGTCTCATATGTCTTACGGGATGTTATGCCCTGTGGCATGTGCTTTCCTTCCTTCGAGAAAGAGTTGGGTTAGGGGAGTGGAATCGTATATCCCTATAGTTTTGCTCGACCTATAAGCTCTGATCTAAGCTGTGATGCTTGGCGAAAGCACACGAAAACTTCGATTGAGCGACATCGGTGCCCTTTCAAAATGAATGTGCAACATTTATGGCAGTTACATCTTAGGTACGGAAAAGGCACCTAATTAAGTTGGGGCACTTCTCCCCCTCTCCCTCCCAATCTTGATGTTCTGAGAATGAACTCGAGAGACAGATATGAGTGAGGACTTTAACCCTAGAACGCCTAGGGGGGGGGGGTTGTATCAACCCCCCCCCCCCCCTGAGGTTTTTTCGAAGTACACGCTAAACGGCTTGTCGTAGCGGGCTGAAATTTTCAATGCCCTCTGGGGCAACCTTTGCGCATCTTTTGCCGAAAAAAAATTGATCGGGTCATGTCAGGTCACGGAGTTATGACGTCATAAGAGGTACAGCCTCCGGCCGGATTTTCACAAACTGAGTGCCAACGCCCGAGGTTTCCTGCCGGTGGTACGGACATCGGTTGATGGATCGTGATGAAACTTCCCATGCATGTTGGGGCAAGTATTGGCTATCATATGGTATAAGAAATTTGACCGGGTCAGGTCAGGTCACGGAGCTATGACGTCACAAGAGGAACAGCGTCCGGTACTATTTTTGAAAAGCGCCCGAACCACTATTTTGCTAATTCTTGTCACCTCAATGGGAATATGCAGCAATATTAGCTTCTATAGGGAGCAAATGGACCTCCCAAATCCAAAAATACAATCAGATTTCAAAAATTTAAATTTTGATTTTTCGAATTTCTGCCGCCGACTGTGACCTTGCCGACTCCCGGCGCTCCCAACGCGCCATTTTTAGAGCTAGGGAAACGAAATACATACCAAACGATAGAGAATTGATCAAGGAACACGATAGTGAAGGTTTCAAGTCGATATCTCCCACCGTTTTGCCGCAATCGCCGCCGAAAGTTGAAAAAAGTATATTTTTCCGAAAATTTGACCTTTGACCGGTCAAAAGTAGGTCAAATGTTGACCTAGGACCAAAAAATATACCACCAATCGCGAGATCTCGGCGAGAGCAATCCGTTGGTTTTTTCCGCTAAGCTCTACGACCTTCCGTTTCGAAACGCCAGGGGGGGGGGTCGTAACAACCCCCCCCCCCCTGGTCGTTCGTGTTATGAGAAATGGCCTGGTCGTGCGAGGGTTAATTATTCAAAATGTCGTTACGTTGCATATCAAGTCGAGGACAAAAGACATGCTTTTTGAAAATGTACAACAGGATGACAAGACAATGGTATGAGTGACAGTCATTTCCATATCTTAACCCTCGCCCGTAAACGCCGATCTGCCACCTTCGCCCATGCAGGGGGGGGGGGGGGGTTGGTGCGACCCCCCCCTTGGCGTTTGAAAACGGAGCGTCGTAGAGCTTAGCGGAAAAGACCAACGGATTGCTCTCGCCGAGATCTCGCGATTGGTGGTATATTTTTTGGTCCTAGGTCAACATTTGACCTACTTTTGACCGGTCAAAGGTCAAATTTTCGGAAAAATAGACTTTTTTCAACTTTCCGCGGCGATTGCGGCAAAACGGTGGGAGATATCGACTTGAAACCTTCACTATCGTGTTCCTTGATCAATTCTCTATCGTTTGGTATGTATTTCGTTTCCCTAGCTCTAAAAATGGCGCGTTGGGAGCGCCGGAAGTCGGCAAGGTCACAGTCGGCGGCAGAAATTCGAAAAATCAAAATTTAAATTTTTGAAATCTGATTGTATTTTTGGATTTGGGAGGTCCATTTGCTCCCTATAGAAGCTAATATTGCTGCATATTCCCATTGAGGTGACAAGAATTAGCAAAATAGTGGTTCGGGCGCTTTTCAAAAATAGTACCGGACGCTGTTCCTCTTGTGACGTCATAGCTCCGTGACCTGACCTGACCCGGTCAAGTTTCTTATACCATATGATAGCCAATACTTGCCCCAACATGCATGGGAAGTTTCATCACGATCCATCAACCGATGTCCGTACCACCGGCAGGAAACCTCGGGCGTTGGCACTCAGTTTGTGAAAATCCGGCCGGAGGCTGTTCCCTTTGTGACGTCATAACTCCGTGACCTGACATGACCCGGTCAAATTTTTTTTTATCAAAAGATGCGCAAGGTTTGCCCCATAAGGTACCCAAAATTTGGCGGCGCTGCGCGCCGCCGTTTTTGCACTATTTCCAAAAAACCTCAGGGGGGGGGGTTGCACCAACCCCCCCCCCTACATGGGCGAGGGTTAACTCTTACCTTTCCAATCCAGCGACTTTCCCGGACAATATAACTCGAATCCATTCTATTCGAGAGAGAAAATGATCAACAGAATCCATGAGGTAATTTAAAACTAGGCAGTATTTTATGAATATATTTCCAATGAAATGCAAAAAATATTAGTCATGTTACATCAAAACACTTGCATTCCCATCTACTCTGACCAATTGACCGAATTGGTGATGGGGTTTAGACCATTTCGGCCTAGACATACCCTCACGCCCAACAGGTTTGAATGCAGCGTTACGATTGCATTGAGGCAAATTACAAAAAAAGGCATCAGGTGCTCTCACATCTCCTGGATGACCATAGTAGAAACCCACAACAAATTCCGCAAGTAACATAAAGCAGGAGCTCCAAGATCCTAAACATTAACTTAATTTTAACCGTTCATGTAAAGGCGATACATGCACGTACTGTTCATTGTAGAGACGGGACAAGAAGCTTGTGTGTGTAATGTGTACCCTTCGGTAGTTTAAGAGCGTTTACATATATGCTGTACTGATACACGCAGGAAATAGTGCAAGACACGAGTTTGGAATCTCGTTACATACCTAAATTAAAAAAATATTAAAAATAACTACAACTTGCGCTCACTCATTCATCTTCACTACTCTAAAAACCAAGGCGACCTCGATTAGCTTCTTAGATTCTTCCGTTAGCAACCGCTCAACTAACAATATGCACATTATTTCTGGCGCTGTAAAACTGAAGCTGACAATATGGCACAAACGGTGTCTCGGAATGGGCTAGAGCGGTGTATAAGGTCGAAGCAGGCTCGCTTATCTCTATCCAGAGCGCACTACACACCATGCCAATCTCACCCTAATCTCACACGTTCATTGGTCCAGCACCAGATACACAACCGCGACTTGCAAAAGCAAAGCAATGCAGTGAACTGCCATGGTAAAATCACCGACTTGTTGCGGACCTAACCTTCGGACGCTGTTGCGACAGTAGCGCCGCTCTCAAAAGTGAGTTTGAAGACTCTTGGCACAGCTACATAGGTGTCGCCCCAGACTGTTCCCCAGCCGTCAGCTAGCCAGCTCAGTTGTTGACGGTCGGCTGGCCGCGAAGACCTCCGCCGGGTCGCGCAGCCTTGGTTCTGTCAATGTTGACCTGCGACTGCAGGTTCGGTGGCAGACGCTCGTACACCTCCTCAGGCACGTCATCTGCCGGGAGACACGGGGACAGTCGTTTAGTCAAGGTACCACTACCATAGGTAAAAATCATGCGTAAAATTGGAGGTCTGGAGCAGACGGGGCTCACGTCAGGGATTTCAGGCATAAATTGTGCTTTAGGCTAGCACTTACGAGTGTTCTTATAACAGTCTTAGTTGAAAAAACAAAACATTGATATACTCTAAATCGCATCTATTTATCTACATTTTTCTTGGAAACCGTTTTTTATGACGTTATTCGTTCGCTTGAGAGCAAGTTTCCATTGTCACGCCGCACTGCAGTCTCGTGTGTAGTTCCACCTACCGTTACACCGGTAGACCAGGTCGGACCAGATGATCATCTCCTGTGAGAAGCAGAACACGCCGATCCGGCCTCCCTTGAGCGTGCTGTCGTAGATGTTACCGGAGTCGGCCACCAGATACTCGCCCTGTGGACAGATCATACATATGGTGACTTCAGATCGGCCACGGTGGTTCATAAAGAACAATATATGTAAAACATGGAAGCGGGCGATTTAGTTCAACGTCAATGGGTTATGAAACTTGCGTAACGTTAATTGATTTATTTAAGTTCCAATTCGATAGAAATACATATTGATCGAGCACTGAACACTCCGATAGTCTTCTCGCAATCGTTCATATGATCAAAGTTTTACCTCTAAATCGGTGGGTTTGGATTAACAACAAGCCAAATAAGCAATCGTATTGAATACCGACGTTAACACGGTTATCGTCATAACTAAAACCACAGTCCCTACGCCTCCGTTTTCGCATCGCGTCACCAGCTTACTCACAGACCCAAACGACTCGGTCGTTTACAGAAGTCTCCGCCGCCAGTTGGGTCACATACCTCGTAAATCCTGAGCCGGATGAGCCCGATCTGTGGCCGGTGCAGCAGCAGCCAGCGGTAGGCCGTCTTCTCCTTCCAGCCCACGTTCCGGGGGTCCTTCCAGAGCAGCCGAACCTGCGCCAGAACGGAGGGAGCATATAATTGGCAAAATGTCACAGAAGCTCGTTTTCTGAAAAGGAGGAAGTAGGGATACAAATAAATAAATAACAGTGGGACTATACGAGGCCTGGTGACGTGGGATATTATTGAATTCTTGCCTGAAGATTGTGACTGCATTCTAAAAGTAAAGAATGCTTTTTCAGGGCACATTTTTTAGGAACAAGGACTACGGAGGCATGATTGTACGAGCATACGCAAGTTGGTGACGAAATACTGATGCCTTAAGCATCCTTTCCTACGGCGAGCCTCTCAGAGACTCTCTGCAGGCGTATTTGGCGCAGACGTGGCCTCAGCGGTGGCCCGACAGCGGAACGCCAACGTAGCCTCAGCGCGTGCTCTGGCGCCCCTACCCTCTATGAGCGGTCATCACCTGGTCAAACGTGTCTCCCGTGTGCCAGAGGGCGTTGCGCATCATCTGGCCGGGCCCCGTGCTGGAGTTGACCACCTTCAGCTGTATGCCCGGCTCGGCCACGGCGCGGAACGGAGTCGGGAGCCAGTACGTCTGTGTGCTCTTCTTCCACATCACCGTGTAGAACTTCTTGTTGTCCTGGTAACTGTTGGAGGAGTGGAGGGCGATGGTTCGGTTAGATCTACTCGGGGTGAGTATCAATGTTGACATCATTCTCATATCGATGGTTGGAGTACCCTGAATATCCCGAATGGTTGAGATTATGTATATGAGATGCAAGACATTTTTATAATAAAAGTCACTTATAAAAATTAAATAACATGTTACCTGAACACGAATCCTACGTAATCGTCGTCAACGGTTGTGTCAATGAAGAATGTGCCCTCGAAGTCGACTCCAGCAAACGTGTTGAACCCTGACAAAATTAATAAGGCGTGAACAATGCAGTCTTTAAAGATCACAGAAACACACTGAGCTGCTTGGTACATAATTGTATGTATGATTTGGAAAGTAACAGGACATTTCCGGTAATAGACCATTGTCCAAGAAAAAGATTGTCAACACAAGCGATTTCCTGGAGCTACGATTATCTCGTTTGGGCGCGGTGCCTTTTGCTCGCACGCAATGAAGAAAATAACATCATCAAATGCTGTGAAACTGCGGTAGAAGTACACACTTGCAGTTCACCATTTTATTATTTTTTTTTCTTTTTGGAATAAGCTGGACGTCTTTATTATTTATTCATTGACCGCTGATAGTGTTTAATTGGTGCAGAGCTCACCGACAGCCAGTCCCGGGTCGCTGTTCATGGTCTGCACGATCTCGGCTCCCTGGTTGTAGATCACCCAGTTGGGGTCCTTCTGGGACTCGCCGAAAGGATCCAGCACCACCGTCTGGTACGACCTGTAACGTGACAAGAGTGTTGAGTTATTACGAGTATATTATGAAGAATAACACTAAATGCGAAGCTCAGAGTGAAAACGACACCTCGACGCACCATACCAGAAGTTCTGCTAATGCGAACACAGTGCATCACGGTGGAGATGACAAAAATCCTGCCTGCTACAGCATGGCAACAATCACGATAATCGCAAAAGTTCTTCCTCATACGCCTCAATCCGATCCCCTCCCTTGCTCGCTCACCTGAAGTCGGTGGCGTAGATCTGCGAGTTGTTGGGACAGTTGTCGTATTTATCGATGACGTTATCTCCGTCGGTGTCCTTGTCGCAGATATCCCCTCGGCCGTCCCGGTCGCGGTCGGCCTGGTCCGGGTTGGGCCGCAGTGGACAGTTGTCTCGGCTGTCGATGATGCCGTCGTTGTCGTCGTCGTCGTCACAGACATCTCCGCGCCCGTCGCGGTCTGTGTCCACTTGGTCGGCGTTCGGAATCTCCGGGCAGTTGTCACGGTTGTTTTGGATGCCGTCCCTGCCGGAGGAAAGTTAGCAATGTTGGTGTCAATGGCGGTGGGAGAGTGCATTTCGGTAGGAAAGTTGTCCGTGATTGAAGGGGAAGTTTTTAGGCGGGTAGGTAGTTGTCTCACAGCGTTTGTATCGATATGTCCGCAGGGATATCGACACGGCAGCAAGAACTAGAGTGACTGGTGCCATTAAGAAGTCGGTTTTTACACAGCTGTGTCGGCTGCTGGCATTACTGCCTCATTATCAGTCATGTTGTTTGAATAACCAAACACCTCGAAACATCAATGTGCTCTTTTTATCCTACTATCACTCGTCATTCCAAGATAAAGTTAACCCTCGCCGGACCTATTGGTTTTCTACATACGCGCCGGCCGAGGGGCCCCCTCGCCGTTTCGCCCCTGGTGGAGCTAGCGCGCCGCGGAAAAAACGAGCGTGTGCGCCGTTACAATACGCAGAGATTGGTACCCGATTTTAAGGTCCTAGGTCAACCGGTGACCTCTGCGGTCAGGTCAAGTGCACAAAGGTACGGTTCAGTTTTTGGTGAATAGTTTGGCAAAAAACGGCCGCAGAGCCGCGATTTTGGCAGCATCCATCGTGTTCGCCTCGCTCAGGCGCGTCGAATGATATACTTTTTGTTTGGGTCAGGTCAACTTAGGGTGTTGACCTCAGGTCACGGTCAGGTCAGCGCCCCCAGGTCACGAAGTTGGTCGAAAGAGGTCATGTCGCATATCATTCGATTCGGCAGGTGTTCCTGAGTCCATTGGTGGATTTCCCGACTCGCTAGCTCAATTTGATCGGGAGTTATTGACGAAAAACTAATATGACCTCGATGACGTCATAAATGACGTCACGCAAGGTCAACATTGCAAAAGTGACGCATCTAACCTTGCAAGGAGTGCATCAAATCACGATCCTGTGTGCTTGAGAGAGTTGGAGATCGTTCCCGGCGCCAGAAAAGTAGTTTTTATTTTCCCCCATCGACTTAGGTATAGGTAGGGGAGAGCGGGGTCAAATGTAACACGGGGCAATTGTAACAGTGTTAATAATTCATAAACTTACCAATAGAATGCGCTAATGTTAAGACCGAAAATGCGTAATTCTATACTGCCTTTCCCAACGGAGTTTGAAGCGAAAGTGCCGGGTATGTCGATGGCTGTGCACAGTAATGTGTTTTTGAGTGCATTTTATAAATTTTCATACCGTTATATTTGATTAGCTCATTCCCGCCATTGAAAAGATATCGACTTCAGACTTTTTGTAAGCGTTGGCAGGCTTGTTGTCCATAAATTGAAAGCATTAAATGCTGTACATGCAACATCTTTATGCGCCAGTTTCGTCTAAAATATGTCAAGGCGCGACGGGGACAATTGTAACATTTTTGCAGGGGTCAAATGTAACAGGTTATAGGTCAGTCGCCATTATGTCAAAGTCGTCAAATTTTCAAGGGAGATGAAACATTGCTAGAATTAAGAGAGCTGTAAGTTTTGTCGCAATCGGCAGCTTTTTACGCGATTTATTTGCGAAAAACCGAGGGAGAGGAGGTCCATCCAACCCCTGTATAAGTGCGAGGTTTTAAGCCTTTTTTCCTGAGAAGAACCGTCTCTACCAAGTCTGGGAAGATGAACAAGTGTTCAATACTTTTGTTAAATCAAAGTTTTGGGAAAAATTGTGTTGCTGTAGCCTGTAAATTAGCATGTTACAATTGTCCCCGGGTGGTGTTACTTTTGACCCCGTATCTGGGGTAAATTGTAACAGATGAATTGACTTTTTCGGACAACAATTTTGACCCAAAAAATAAGTTATTTCGGAAATGTTTTAACAGCATTTTAAAGACAAAACCTCATAGTTTCTGAAAATAAAAGAAAGAGTTTTATAACAGCAAACGTGTTTGCACCAGATGATAAAATGCAAAAAATGTTACAATTAACCCCGTTCTCCCCTATAGGTATAGGTAGGTATAGGTATAGGTATAGGTCACCTAATGGTGAGGTCACGAAAATGACCTGACCTCATATGACCTTTAGGAAAAATCTGAGATATACACGTTGTGAGACTCGTAATGGATGCTAGATCATGCAAGTTTCATTTCCCTGTGACAGCTCCTCTGGCAGTGAGGGCGTTGCGAATTTGCGACATCTGGAGACCGTGCAGAGGTTCACTTATGACGTCATAGGTCAGTGACCTGACCTGACTCGAAAATGCAGTTGGTGTCAAAAGATCCCACTTAAATCAAAGGTCAGGTATGCCAAGTTTCAGCTCTCTATCGCCAGCGTGTTCGGAGCTATCTCGAAAAAAACCCTATGGGGGGCGACACCCCCCTCGGCCGGCGAGGGTTAATCTTGACCGTAACACTTCGCCCCTCCACCAGCCCTTCCCAAGTTCCACCCCTTGACTACCCCGCTCCTCGCCCACCTCCCCATCCCATTACTACTACCACATCCTCCCCCTCCCTTCCCCTCCCCCCACCTGTCGACGTCGTCGTCGGTATCGCAGGCGTCTCCGACCAGGTCGCGGTCCTCGTCCCTCTGGTCCGGGTTGGAAACGGTCGGACAGTTGTCGCAATCGTCGCCCAGACCGTCACTGTCCCGGTCGCGCTGGTCCGGGTTCGGATTCTTCGGACAGTTGTCGTTCTCGTTCAGAATACCTGCCGGGAGAGGGCGTTAGTGGGTGAGGTCAGTTGAGGAGATGCGCTATCGCCACTCACGGCAACAGGCGGTGGCGTATCATTTCTGTGAGCCAGTTTGGAGCGTGAGGTGATTACACATTTAAACCGTCCAAAATCTGCACCATGAGCAGCCTGGCGGCCTGGTGCAGCACGATCAGGCGTTTGGCAGCCTGGTCCCCAAACAAAATAGTTCTTTTTCAGATTGTTTTGCCGTAAGTGAAAGATAAGCTTGCTATGAATCACTTGCTAGCTCTCTCATACATCGGTGAAGGTACCCTAAAAACCTCCTTTCGCACCGTGCCACGACATCCAACTCCCTCCACTACTCACGTTTCCATCTTACCTCTCACTCGCTCCAAATGCGAACCCTACCCGGTCTAACCAGTCGCCGTATCGGCCACGTACCGTCGTCGTCGATGTCCTCGTCGCAGACGTCGCCCTTGCCGTCGTTGTCGGTGTCCTCCTGGTCGAAGTTGGGGATGGTGGGGCAGTTGTCGCACACATCACCCTGCCGGTCCGGGCCGCCGCGGTCCGTGTCCGCCTGGTCGGCGTTACTGACCAGCGGACAGTTGTCCTGAAAACATCGGGACAACTCTAAGAGAAGCTGGTCTGAGGTGAAGGAATGCTGCCAAGAACAAGGCGTAGAAGTTACTGATCTTTTGTGACAGGGTTATATTATGATTTATACCGTCAAATGAAACAGTTTTGTTGAAGACAAACTGCACAATAGCCGTTTTCACGACGGGCTATCCGGCGAATGCACCTGATTTGACCAAATCTGCACCTAATTTCTTTTACAGCAAATATCTTCATTTTATGAATTTATTTCAGTGTTTTAATCGATGATGCTCTCTGATAATATGACAAAGCAGGGATATAAGCAATTAGTGCAACCCTGGCTGATAGCTGCTAAGAGACACACTGAACCTGATTTGACCAAATCTACACCTAATCTGTAGTCAGATGTGCACCAAATGTGTACCAGATGGCCGTCGTGAAAACGGCTATTAACATGTGACAATATTCGTGGGAACGGGAAAGGGATGCTCTAAACTGATCGACGAACGAAACCCTAACATTGGCCGACTTTGTGGATTGCAGGGATAATAACGACTTCCGTGTATGTGAATGACTAAATCGGGATAGGAGTTCCCGAAAACGCAAATTTTATCATATAGCTTTTTTTAGAAAACAGGACAATGCATAATCGTTTTACATCTAGCCAAATCAATGTTTCATATGATACAACAAAGCGAAATTAAGGAAACCATGCCAGATATAAGAAAAAAGGACAATACTAAACAATACAATCACCTTGGAACTGCAAGGACAAACACACAACAAGAAAAAGGCGCCATACCGAGCTAACAAAACCACATAATATTAGGCATAGAGCAGCTAGCCGTCGGCATCGCCTGAACGGACGTTCACAGAGGGAGGAAACATGCAGTCGAACATACTTCCGATGGACCCAAAGCAGGTACGGTAATTAATACGACGGGTACAAGAACAGCTGTATCGCAGTGCATCTCATTGTAATTAATGGACGTTACGAAGGCAGTCAGGACGACAGACAACAATTCGCAGTCTAAATCTATACCGCGGCGCAAAACTGTGCCACATGCCGTATCTCTGTGCCCGGAACGGTCTGGCTGAGCCCCGGAACTATAAACTGTCTCGCTGCCGAACTTCACGAATCCGCCAACGAGTTCAATAAACCGAGCCAAGCATGCACGAAGCCAGCCAGCTGAGAAAAGTGCTGTATATAAGGGACACTGGCGCATATGAGGTGGGCTCGATGTGTCATAACTGTCTCAGAAATAGCCCACGAACCGGCTGAGAAAGGTAAATGAAAGCCCAGCGCGGCCGAGCGGAAATTTAAAATGATCTTTGGATGTCATTTGGGGAAGTGAGTATAAAGTAAAATTTAGATGATTGGATTGTTTCGGTTTCACAGCAACACGCGTTGCGCTTAGGCTAGCGGTCTACACTAGGGCCATGAGTAGATGTGTTAGACGACGTATAGACAGTACGACTTCTGAATATCAGCTTACCCATCCATTTGGATTGTTGGGGTTGGGCTAGAAACACGTAAAAACAGTCAGCTATCCACCAATCCCAAGTTATTCGTATTGTGTGCTGAATTATGCGGTAATACAATGGACACTTAATGTTGTCATACACTTAACGCTCCAAAGAATCCAGGTAAAGCTAATAATTCCTTTATTCATTCCCATGGCGCATACATCGTACTGCATTTTGCGTCAATTGCACAAGAACCTATCGGATGGATGTACTATGCAGTATGCAGCGCTGATATTTACAATTGCCATCAAGCTTCCCCTTTCCAATTCGCGAACAGCAGTTTGCAGCGCCATGTTCGATCTCTGAGTTGCTGAACATGCCGTCCCCGTTCACTCACCGGCTCGTTGTAGACGTTATCACCATCTGCGTCCGGATCACAGGCGTCTCCGATCTTGTCCCCATCGGCGTCCTCTTGGCCAGAGTTGGGCGTCAGCACGCAGTTATCCTGAAATACGTCCAGTTGGCGATAAAGAAAGGTGATAGATTTATCTGTACCTAAGTATTGCTTGAATTGGGCTACTTTTACGTTTATTTAGCTTTCTGTCCATGTCGTATACACGGCATTTATGGCAGCATGATGCAATGACGCAAGAAATTGCACTGTTCATCCCTGAGCATGTCTTAATGGAATGCATTATTTTTTAAGTTAACTCGACCGCTCATCATTACCTAGTAGCTACGATATATCCACTATCCAGTTCAAGTTGTGGATCAAACTAATCGCACCATCGCCAGTAGGCGGCGCATCACATTTCTCATTATTTAATCTACAGTTCGTTGAATTGCGATCAGCTTAGGTTACATCAAATGAACAACGTTATTACCATTGGGTGCCTCAGTCATAGTAACTGAGCCTGGGTTCGGTCCACTCAAAGGCTAATATTCATCCACCTTCTGACGTCACCACCGTTTTCGTGACGGCATAGCGACCCTCACCTTGATGCAATACTTATCAGTGCAGGACAGGTCGTAGTCGGGGAACCGATCCAGGTCGGTGTCGGGAGCGCACAGCTTGCCGTTGCCTGCCCAGCCGATCTTACACTGAAAAAAAAAAAAAACAGATCGAATGGTCGTCACGGTACAAGTTCCGTGGCTGAAACGAAAATATCATCATGAAACGCAGCGATGCAAACAACATGAAAATATTTTGGCGGATGACTTTTGATCTACCGTCAATCCGTTCATGCGGATGTTTAATCGAACTCTTGCCGAACATTTTGGGCGTTTAATTCAGTTCCCTTGACATACAGCTTACTCGTTTTATAGCTCACCTTTCTTTCCCGCTCCATTTTCTATATTATGTTCTCTGTATTTTAGTTTCACTGAAATTCCCTCCTCTCTCCCTTCTCCTTCCTCCCCCGCTCTCCCCCTCCCTCCCCACTCTCTCCATCTATCCCTTTCCACCTCTCCCACTCTCTTATTTCTCTCTCCCCTCTCCCTCTCTCTCCCTCTCCCCCTCTACCTCTCTCTCTCTCTCTCTCTCTCTCTCTCTCTCTCTCTCTCTCTCTCTCTCAATCTCCCCTTCTCCCTCCTCTCTCTCCCACCTCTCTCTCTCTCTCTCTCTCTCTATCTCTCTCAATCTCCCCTTCTCCCGTCTCTCTCTCCCCCTCCTCTCTCTCCCTCTCCCCTTCCCTTCCCTTCCCTTCCCTCCCCTCTCCCTCTCCCCCTCTCCCTCTCCCTCTCCCTCTCCCCCTCTCCCTCTCCCCCCCTCCCCCTCCCCCTCTCCCTCTCCCTCTCCCTCCTTCTCTCCCTCTCCGCTCACCCGACAGATGTAGCTGCTGGAGCCGTACGGCCGTTCGCAGTTGGCGTTACCGTCACACTGCGTGCCGTCCGGACACAGCCCGGGCCGGTCACGACAGCCCACCGTCTGGTTACCCACGAAACCCTCGATGCACTCGCCGCAGTAGAAGGAGCCCTCGGTGTTGATACACTCCGAGTTGGCCACGCACCGGTTCTCCTCACACTCGTTGATGTCGTAGCAGGTCTGCTTGCTGTAGCGCGCGTACTCCAGTCCAGAACCCTGCCGGTTATGTCAGGTGAGGTCCAGGGGTGAGACTCGGGTGGGAGGGGTCGGTGTGATAGGTTCGAGGTGTGGAGAGGAGGGTGGATACGCTGCTGGGAGCCAAAAGGCAGCTTGGCTAGTAATGTAATCACACGTTTGTTATGTGTTCCGTTTGACGGAGTTAATAAAAAATGTGTCCCTATAACATAATGTTTCTCAACGTTAGGCGTAAAAGATTTACATGTATAAAACGGATAAAAATAACTGGGAATTTTGAAATAATCGTAACCCACCTACAGTGCGGGCCGTGACCCACCTGCAGTCCGTGACCCGTGACCCGTGACCCACCTGCAGTCCGTGACGCGTCACCCGTGACCCACCTGCAGTCCGGGGCTGTGACCCGTGACTCGTGACCCGTGACTCGTGACCCGTACCCACCTGTAGTCTGGAGCCGTGACCTGTGACCTGTGACCCGTGACCCGTCACCCGTCACCCGTCACCCACCTGCAGTCCGGGACTGCCCGTGAAGCCAGCCGGGCACGGTCCGCACCGGAATCCGCCGTCGTAGTTTTGGCACTGGACGCGCCGGTCGCACGGCCGCGCCTGGGCACACTCGTCAATGTCGCGGCACTCGACTCCATTACCCTCGTAGCCCTCGGGGCAGCTGCCGCAGCGGTAGTAGGGCGGGCTGGCCGTGTTCTGGCACTGCACACCTGTCGGACGGGGAGAGACGGGTGGTGAGAGCGGCTGTGGGACTGACTGGCTTCAATAAACACTAACACGGCGACTCTTTTAAAAAACAATGCCGCTGAAAAAAAAAATGTAGGCCGCTGTGGAATTTGGTATCGATTCCATTGTCGTAAGTACCGGTACGAAAGGATACACAATGAGTAACGCACATGATAAGATGCTATGCATACATCTTACACACACGAGGTTCCCATCACTGTATTACCTACATGGGCAGCGCTCGCAATTGGAACTCAAAGAGGTAGGCAATCGACCAGTAGCGGCGGAACACCTTCAATTAAAGGGGGCACTGCCGACTTTTGATCCCATTCTTTCCATGCAACGCCTATAGGGCTAATATTAAAATGCCAAAATCAAAGGGGGGCACGGTGCCCTCCCCGTTCCACCGCCTATGCAATCGACTACGAGCAAGTTGTGCGTATGTGCCTAGCTTACAAATCGACATACCCATCCCCGCATTCTTTCGGCGCCTTTGAGACGCACGGCACCGTGTCACAGTGTGTCAGACTACCAAATTTGGTGTTCGCAGTCGCGCTAACCACACAGCTCGCCGTGCACTGTGCAATCCGGCTGCCTGGCACGGCACACGCTATGTGCAGTGCGGCACGGAGGGAGTTATGGGCGGCTAATGGCTCACGCACCGTGTGCGGAGGTGGTGGCGGCGGCACGGGTCCATTATCGCGGCTCCGGCGGCCGTCGGCGCCCGTCCGGCCCCGCTGTCAGGGAAGGAACGAACACCCCCAGCCGGCACCCCGGCGCCGCCGAGTCCGTGCAGAGCAACACGCGCGCGTTATGGGCGGCTGGTGCGACAGGGAAGCTTTATGGGGGTGTCGACGGCTGCACGCGTGCCGCCAGCCGCGTGATTGGGTAATTAGTACCGTTGGGTGGTACGATGTGGGAAGGTGGTCCCGCTGTGATGGCAGGGGAAACCCGCTGCGCTGGCCGAGGAGGCGTGGTGAGAAACCGGTCACTAACGGCCGCTGGACTGCTCGGGCAATATTAACGAAACGTGGCAAAAACTCACACGAAAAGATAAGTCGATAAATAAATTAATGAGTAGGTAGGATAACATGAATAGTTTGTTTTACGAATATCGGGTCATTTCGTTGATTGGTAGCTCACTCCCATGAATGAGTTTAAAAAGTGTAGGATATGCTTATCTGTCCGAGAGCGCAGGTGTTGTTCACATTACGCATACATATTGCATAACAAATGGTTGTCAGCCGGTGCACAATTGTCCGTTTTGAATGCACTCTGCTTTCTCTGGAGCATAGAAAAAAGCTAGCCAGCAGTGCAGCAATTCATTGTACTGCCAATGTGAGCGTACACAATCAAAGTGGCGAGTCAACACACAACCGGCAGCTGTTGATTCTTAGTGTGGAGCGAGATGAATCACCGGGTAAAGAAGGACCGCTGGCGCACGGTAACCGGCATGGTAAACAGACGGTCGAGATCGCGAATACACACATTACACAGCACTTGTATTCACATTTGAGCCGTGGCGACTTGACCTGGGAAATAATGAAGGAATGATCAGCTTTTCAAGTTCCCCGGCATACTCTGCAGGTTCGCTCTCCTCAGTATGACGTACTCGTACCTCTGAGTATCCCCCCGTCGCGCCGATACAGCCCCGTCCCTCGGTAATGATGACGTACCTCTGGGTATCTTCTGCCCAGCGCACCGCACGGCCCCGTACCTGAGTCATGATGACGTACATACCTCTGAAGCAGGGCTGGTCGTCGCAGGTGGTCCCTCGGCGACAGGTGCGGCCGTCGCCTATGTAGCCCCGAGGACACTGGCCGCATCTGACGCCGTCCCGCTCCTCGACACACTGCACGCCCTCGAAGCACGGGTTGGGGTTGCACGTCTCCCGGCCTGTCGGCGGGTACAGAGGGTCAGACGGGGTCAGGTCAGGTCAGGTCAGGTCATGGTGGCAGGAGAAACAGAGGTGTGTCTGCAGAGCCACCATCAGGGTCATGAGCAGAGTGATACCGGTATGAGTGATGGCAGTGTGACCTGGCCGCCCAGAGGTTGTGCCGTAGGGTTCGGTGAGGTCACGAGCTGTCAGTCGGCAGGCGCGTCAGTGGCTGAGACGCCACGGCGCCTGTAAACTCCAATCAAGGGTGATGTCATTGGCGTCGTCACCGACAGCGGCCAATTATTATTACGGTGAGGTCATGGGGGTCGATGATCGATAAGCAGATCTGCTTTCGCTTCCTCCTCCTCCTCCTCCTCCTCCTCCTCCTCCTCCTCCTCCTCCTCCTCCTCCTCCTCCTCCTTCTCCTCCTCCTCCTCCTCCTCCTCCTCCTCTCCTCTCTCTCTCTCTTTCTTTCTTTCTTTCTTTCTCTCTCTCTCTCTCTCTCTCTCTCTCTCTCTCTCTCTCTCTCTCTCTCTCTCTCTCTCTCTCTCTCTCTCTCTCTCTTTCTCTTTCTCCGGCTGGTCGAGGGTTAGCACTTGAACGCCCGACAGTCCCAAGATTCGTATGTCTCCCCACATCACGATGACTATTTATCTGGTGCACGATCGCCTTCATTGTATTCATGTCACAGCGACCCGTGCTTGGCGACGGCCATGGCTTTTGCGACACGTATTAATGACTCATCGTCCATACTTTCTGCTTTCATATGCCCACCTGCTCAGGGCATCAGGGTTTTGCTGCGTGGCTCTGCATGCATCGCAGCTTCCATCGCACCACGCAACGATTTCGACTAGTTAGCTCTGCAGTGCTGTGAAACATCTGCGTACACATATCCCGACGCCATGAGAAGCCTGTGGAAGTGCTTGGCTCCATCAGATGGCCACCGGTCGTATCACTGACCGGGTCAGGGCGGGTCGGCGGCGTGACCTCCTAAATGTCCCTCTGATGGCTCCAATTAGACTCGGCAGAGGAGGCGGCACGGACCACCCAGCGGACAGAGCGGCCGGCACCGTGCCATTACGAGTACACCGCCTCCGTACGACTGATGGCCGGTAGAGAGGAGAGAGCGCGAGGGAGAGAGGGAAGGAGGGTTAGAAGAGCGAGATGAAGGGAGTGGATGGAAGGAAGGAGAAGGAGAAAGGGACATGGAAATCGAGATGAATGGGCTTCAGAAGAAGAGTGAGATAGATAGAGAGAAGGATGGTGTGTGAGGGAGGAAGAAGATAGAAAAAAAGAGAGAAAGAAAGAAAGAGAGAGAGAGAGAGAGAGAGAGAGAGAGAGAGAGAGAGAGGGGAGAGGAAGAGAGAGCTGGGAGAGAAAAAAGTATGGTAAAAGAGAAGGGAGAGAGGGAGGAAGGTACAGCCATAGCCCATATCAGTCATACACCTAAAGAAGATAAACGGACTCGCCTTCCCAGGAAAAGACAGACCAGTGGAGAGTGCTGTGTCTAAATCTCAGGCGGAGACGGACCGGCCAACGGACCGAGGAGAATTAAATGGCCACTGTGAGCCGGTCCCCGTGTCGGGACCGCCATTTGGTGCGGGCGGTGCCGGACCGAGAGCAGGGCGCGGTCGGTACAGTGAATTACACCGTACGGCGAGAGAGGTGTCGTTAGCAGAGAACGGCGTGCCAACGCCTTTACATCTGCCGCTGAGGTGATGTTTTTGATCAGCATGCTACAGATGCTTCATGCTTGTTTGGAAGTGAATCGACCTGGAAACCTGTTTATAGGTACATCGCTGCTTATGACAGCGGTGTAGTCGGTCTATGATGTGCAATGGCACATATCAGCCGGACGGCACATCGCTGTCTTGTTGAAATCCTTGTGAGACGAACAGCTTACATCAGTAGGCATACACTATCTCTCGCTGTAATGACAGAGTTTGTGTGAGAGTGCGGGCAGTCCCAGCTGTCGCAGGCGCGCACCGGGCTGCCTTCCCAGGACTGTATCTGCTGTCCAGCCGCTATCGATGCGTGGGATAATGGTGACGGCCGAGTGGGATGTGGGAGCGTGACCGATCCCGCGCACACAGGGGTAGGTGTCTGCAACGTGATACCGTGGCGTGGGTGTGTCACCTCAGACCGTGAGGTCACTCTCAGGACTGCGCTCGCCCACGCCCTCTCTCTCTCTCTCTCTCTCTCTCTCTCTCTCACAGTCACGCCTGGGTCGTGGGGCGCCACGATATCGTCACGTATTAGTCACAAATGATGGTCATCACCTTTATAGCGCTGCGTCAGCATGCAGCAAATGACCAAAGCAACATAACTGTGTGTTTGGTTATTGAGGGAATAGGTATATCATCCATTTCTACATTCAATTGACACCATCCTCATTTGTCACTTGGCAAGACTACTTTACGATGGAAACTTCCTTTGTCAAACCTGTATCCCAGCCAGCGTAGCCGGACATGTTTGCCAACGCCTAGAGCACAGGGTGACATTGCTTACCTGGTCGACAGGCGTCGCAGTTCTCGATCGCCTGCCGGATGCGCACCGTCTCTGCGCGCTGCGCGCTCATCTCTGTACGCAGCTCCTTGATCGACTCGATCAGGGCACCCAGAGTTTTGATGAGCTGCGCGTCGCGGTCGCTGTAGTCGTTCAGTGGCTGGTCACCTGTCGGACCAGGGCGGAGGTCACGAGAGGTCACCTGATGGTGCAGAGGTCACCCGGGGTCACAGAGACCTTGCCAGAGGTTACCCGGAGACAGGCTTATCGAGAGCAGTGACACGAGTGGCACCCACAGACAGGACCACTGGTGCCTCCGTGTCAGGGAGGATGTGACTAATGGAACCCCGACTAATTGCCGCACATTTGTCAGCGAGAGATAAAGCCAAGACCCGAGCGACAGAGATGGAAGAACCAACCGACATGACATTCACCGTACAGACAGCGATTGTTGCGGATGGGGAAGCGAAGCTGGCACACACGCTGTATGTGCTGGACAGGCAGCTAAAATAGCGAGGCAGCGGGCTCTGTCTCAAGTCAGATTAAAAACATCAAGGATTTTCCTCGGTTTCCGACGGTGCCACTGCGCTGGCGTTGCTTATAACAATGCTCAGTGAAGCAATTTTCTGTTGTCTACTATGGCCGTTTCTCAGTCCTTACCGAAGCGATAAGGCGCGCCGTGGCTTGTGCTCTCGTCCAAGCTGGTCTCACTGTACTTACCCTACCGTCAGTAAGTCGATGGATTCGTCAGGGGAGACGTCAGGACCGTAAGAATGTCGAATTTCAGCGGAAACTTTTTTGATGGTCGAAGAGTAGAGATTAGTGGATTATATATGTGGCAGAAGGTTATAATCATATGTTTCTGAAGGTCAAGTTAGCTATTCTCAGGATGCCTTGAAACATTTGTTTTATGTTCCTGGTTAGATGCTTCGATGGTTATCTACTTATTGAGCATTGAAGGCATGCTAAATACGGTAAAAGTTGTGAATCTGTTGTCAGATGACAGTTTTGCCTACATGAGCTCAGTTAAATGTATTTTCATTCAGGTAACATCCATGCTTTTTAAATGGTTCAAAATTAAAACACACGGAAAGGCGTGCTCCGTTCGTTCTGTTTTAAACCTTTTATGTTATGTTTAGGACATGCGGATCAAAGTTGATGCTTGACTATGCAGCTCATTCCAGGTGAACTCTATTTTATTTTATCACTCGGGGCGCAGAGGACCCGCTGATACGTTGGCGGTGCCTGTGCACCCGACTTAGTCGTGGCACACTCCAGCCCGGCGGCCCCCTTCGTCCCTGGTTAGCGGCGTTAGATGCGCGGTGGTCTGCCGGCGCGCCCTGGCGACTCACCTCTGTCCACCAGGTTCAGGGGCTGGGAGAATTGGGGGCACATGTAGCCGGACGGGGCGCAGTAGGGCACCGAGCGGCGCCGCGGGCGCACCCTGTCGCCACCGGCGGCGCCCGAGTCGTCACCTGGCCGCAGCACGGGCGGCGCGTCAGCGCGCGGCGCCCCCGGCGACGGGGGCCGGCGCCCCCGGCCGGGGTGGCAGGAACGGGAGCCGGCGCCCCCGACGGGGGGGGGGGGCAGGATACGGCAAGGATACGGTTCCTCCTTTTCCTACAGCAAGGATACCCTTGCTGCTCCGGTAGTGCGCTATGGTAAAAGAGGCTGAAAGAGGGTTCTGAAGAGGAGAGGTCCCTGGGATAGATGCAGCAGAAGTTGGGTCACTGCCTCACGCACCACGCTCCAGTCAAGCCGCAGATCGAGTTGCGATGCACCAAACCGCAATGCATTCATGGCCATAGACATTCACCAGCCTCCTTGATTCTATGTATGCGAACCCAGCGTAAACACACGAGCAATAACAACATTGCAATGCCATAGTCAGTCGCAAACCCCAAAGCAGCGTATAATGTCAGCAGAAAGTTGCGCAAGAGTTCCGCGACCCACCAATTTGAATTACTGGTCGAAGTCACTCCTATGAAAAAAATATGCTCATAAACAGAGTTCAGGCCAGTTTTACCAACAGAAAAATAGCCGCCCGCCGGAATTTTTCGCCTAAAGACCGCATCACATACGCGATGGTAAGCGCTGAGCGCGTAAGCGGATAGGGCTTTACCGTTTACGCTCCGTATGTTAAGAAGTTTTAAGGCAAAAAAAAAAAAAAAAATCCGGCAGGCGACTATTTTTCTGATGGTGGTAGAACTGGCCTCTGTTCTTTTTTTCTTTTTCTTTTTGCTACGGAAGGACGGAGCGAAAGGGCTTCCAACTGCCTTCATATATGCGTTCTATACGCTAAGTGCTAGTAAAGGGGAAAGCTTTGACAAATACACTACTTGGAATGAAATATTATCTTAGCTATAGTCCGTTCCATACCAAGTTTGCAGTCGGAGTTTCTTCGGCAGATCGCTCCTCCGCCTTGCCTCCGCTCAAGAATTTGCGTCTTAAAATGTAAGAGCTGTATGTACAGAAAACACGCCCTGCTTTCAGCAGGGCACTTCGGCTGCAAGCTTGAAAAGGAACAGAGTATAGACTACGAATAAATTAAGTGGGACTTTAACCCGCGAGTTGCTGGGGGGGGGGGGGCGTTAAACGCCCCCACTTTTTTCGCCGGGCCATAGTATAAAAACGGCCATAGTATAAAAATTTTGTGTACCTGTAGGGAATTGATTGAGGTTTATTGTGACGAAGTTTCAAAAAAATCGCTCGGATTTTTTTTTGAGATATCGAGGTTTTAGTGACGTCATTATTTCTGAGTTTTCGACCAAAAACGGCATATGTTCAAAAAATCGTATAAAGTCACAGAATAAACATACAGACATGCCGTAAACGTCATTAGACTGCCAATATCATGAAAAATCAGATGGCTATATTCGATTATTGATTATCGTTCCGCATGTTCCAAAATCTTGAACTGAATCTTGACAATTTCTCGTGACTACTTCACGACCATGATACATGCATTTCTTAAATTGAACCTTTTGAGACAAATACGTACACATATGATAAAATGAATGCCAACATCGTGTTCTACGGCCCAAATTACCTATAAAACATGTGTCACGGGCTGCGAATATCAGTTTTGATTTTCGGGGATATGTGCCTACCCGGTTGACCTGACATTGACCTTGACCTATGCTTGACTGACCCCTACATGGAGCTGACACTCTTGTAGGCCTTATATCATGGATTGTGCACCGTTTTGATAGAGTTTATTACGAGAGGCGCCCATTGCGAAGTCCTGAAGTCCATGCTACTGAAAGCCCGATTTCAGGTGTTTGACCTGACCTTGACCTGACCTGTGACCTCAAAATTCAACTTTTAAGTACTCATCTGAAGCGTCTCGTCGCGTTCTTTCGTTTGCCGCCTCGTGCGTTTCGCTGCGCCTATTGGTTCTCGAGTTATCGGCTGGGGGCGTTTAACGCCCCCCCCCCCCCCAGCAAACGGTGGGTGGCGAAATACCCCAGCAACTGCCGGGTTAAAGTCATTTTATCTTTTACTCAGGTTGATAAGTTAATGGTATACTTTTCAGAGTCTCAAGAGTAAAGCTTTGGAAAATTTGGATTTTCGGTAAGACACGCATCACTATAAGGCAATGTAAAAACGTAATCATTACGGTGGACATTAATTTTTGAATTTGCATTTACACTGCCATTGTTGCTTTACGTCAACGATAATACCGGCACTTTATCATACTGGACAGCCCTGGTGAATATTATCCCACAACTCGTTAGAAAGTGATCTAGGAAATTATACATTCATGAAAGTGGCTAATTGCCGTGGCGGGGCTGATCTGCCGGCCGCACCCATCTGTCTGTATGTACAGTATGCTGCAGCCCAGTGGGTACTGGGTAGGTATGTGTCTGCACGGTGTGCAGTGGTCTCACACCCAGCCAGCCGCCCCGACACCTGTGCTGATCAGAACCCGGCACAGAGCCGCGGCTTTCCGCGCGAGGGCACGGGGAGCGCACAGCTCCGCCGGCATGGCACGGGTACGGTTTTCACACAGGTGACCGGTCGGCCGCCGCTGGAGCTTCTGACAGTCCCGCCACACCCCCGGACAAACAGATACCAGTGAACACTGCACATGCAGACAGAGCCCCGAAGGCGGTGACGTCACTGATGTGCGATGACGTCACTGGGTGATTGTACTCACCGCGGACGGAGGGGTCTCGCAGCCGCTGGGCGGCCGCCGGTCTGGCCTGCGTCGACTGCAGCACGTAGCCGGCACAGCCGTGCTTGTGCAGGATACTGCTGATGGAGGTGCCGGCCAGCACTTTGGCACCCATCCGCCGCTCGCGCATCTGCCCGGAGAGGGGCACGGTGGTCACACGATGCACATCCAGTGCTGAATATCTTTGGAGCCGAATTCACATGATGCACAATGCACCTTTTCCGGGGGCTTAGATATTTCACGAAACATCTTCAAATATATCTTTTAGGTTTCTGGGCGCTCAAGTTTTTTGAGAACGTTTCTTTGATTGAAGCGCTTAGTGTGAGAGCAAAAGCATAAGTTGTGGGTTAATTTTGCCTAAAATGGAAGAATATATTTGTGTTTTATCTTGTCCAGGAAAATGCGAACCAGTTTAGTGCTCTTATGTGTTTGAAAAAAAAAAAATCAAGATTGCCTAAAGACAACTATAAAATAATGTCAACTATGTATGATTGGCATCATAAAATGATGTTCGCATAATTTGGTTTTATGCAGCCGGAAACGTTGTCGAGACGGATTATGCCACCTAACTAGATGAATCAGAAACAAATGTCGTAAGCATTAATCGCTATCACGTGTCACTTAACCAATAGAAGGGATACAAATGTTTTGCGCTCCTTTATGACGGATATTGGTTAGGTACCTAGATTGCATACGATTGGGGCGACTGGCGAGGCCAATTCACAATAACCATGTCATGACATGATTATTCCAAATGCAGTTTATAAAACCTCATTAAAATTGTACGGAGCTCTACATTTCATTCGCAATGAATCAAAGTACGAAACATATCATTGGTAAATCCTTTCAGGATCCATAACGAACAGAATCAGCCATTTAGTACGACCGGAAAGTGGTTGCTGGAAAATCTGTCGCGATCTTACCGAATGGCACCCGGAGCATCTGATTAAGCCATCATCATCTGTCTGAAAGTGACAGCATTATTAATTGCTCGCGCTACTATAGCGTGCGTTCATTCACCGGAGCTGTCAAGTGTCAACCCATGGATGGTCAACCCTTGACGCTCTCAACATAGCAGAAGTATTTTTGCTTTGCTTTGTCACGCATCTATCCGAAGTTGCTAATCGGCTCTGGCTGTCAGCAGTTGAAGAACGATCGAGTTCGATGACGATATTGCGATAATAGTGCTGTCATTAATCAAAAGTCGCACAAAGCAGGGATACGCTCAACTCGAGAAAGGATTATACCTCTGACTAGCAGTGGCGGCGAAACACCTTCAATTAAGGAGGGGTGGGGGCACTGCCGACTTTTGGTCCCATTCTTTCCATGCAACGCCAATAGGTCTAATGTTAAAATGCCAAAATCAAAGGGGGCGCGGCGCCCCGGTGCCCCCCCCCCCCCCGTTCCGCCGCCTATGCTGACTAAAAGCTGCATGTGCATTGAGTAACTTATGAATACATTTCCAGCATACGATTACGAGTATTTAGCTACAGGTGCTCTTTTTTTAGTAAGAAAAAAAAAGATATGAAAACAGAGATAAATGGCTTAGCCTGGGATTTTTGTTAAGGTATTTGCATAGCTTGTTGTATGGCTTTCCAGTATTAGCTGCCATTGAAAGTCGCATCTTCATTTGATTGTAATATTTAATTATAAACTCTTGTGCCACCATGGCCTTGCAAGCACCGAAGTCGTAATTTAAAGCTTGACCGACAGGAATTTCGGATACGCCCATATTAAGTGCATTGCAACTGGGAGGGGAAACCCGTGAAGAGTTGGCTCGTTTTGTATTCTGGTGCGGATTTATCACAGTCCTCGAGTGAGAGGTCACTCGGCGGGCGGCCGAATCTGGTGCTGTTCACCAATGCTAATGTCACGGTCGGGTCCCTCACCACGGGAGACCTCTGCGGGGTACGCTAACAGGCCCACCCCGGGCGTCCCATCCGCCCACCTCTGTATACCGGACACCTGCCAACAGCAACCGACTGCAACACACAAACGCTGGTCTCTCGGGCACCTCAGCACTCAACGGTGGCCACCATTCATTTGCTAATGCATGGGCGCCCTGGGACGCGGTGAAAGGTGCGTTCAACTGGCAATGTATTCATTGTGCATTGTGCTCCGCAAGTCGTTGAAGGTGCAATTGCATGCTTGATTGCGTCAATACAACGATTTGGAGGGTGGAGTCGTCTTCCGAACCTCTTAACCAACATCATCGGTGTGTGTTGAGCGCGATTGCGGCTACCTTTGGTGGCTATCAGGGCGGCGCGCAGTGCGAACAGATGGCCCATTCAGAGACGGTAGGGTGCTCAGGGGTGTCCATATGTGCACCAGTAGCTCGTATCTGCAGGTTTTAGCACATTTATTGTCTTCAGTTGGTATGCTGAATAGAACTTATAAACGCATGCATGACGATCCGACGCATTATGTCACAACTCCATCACATCTAAGCCAGTGATGAGTAGCCACTCATTCATGCTAAGTATTTAAAAGGAAGCTCTTCTTGCATTCCTCCGCCCCGGACATGCGAATACAGGGGTCTTCCATCGTGACACCGCCTCGGCAGCAGGGTGCCCACTGCGGACCCGTTTGACTGGTCACGTGTCCGCCTGTGCCGGCGGCCCACAGCGCCGGGCGAGGGTCACGTGACGGGTGGAGCTACCCCTGTGCCGGGGGCGCGGTGCCCAGTCCTGGAGATCGCTTGTCCGTCGAGGGCGGCCGCTGCTGGTCCCGCCTCGGTGCCGCCCTGAAGAGCGCCAGACTGACGGTTCTGACACGACGAGCCCGTGCTGATCTCCCCGGGTTAATAATCTTACACCGATTGACACGAATAAGATTTGATGTCGGTGGATGAAATGAGGTCAGCGTAAATTGGCAGAAGATAGCAGTTATACAAAATGTTTTCCACGCATTTGCATTACTGCGATATCATCAATCAGCATTGACAGGAATCTGCCGTAATTCAAAACATATAATTGCCAGTTCCAGCGAGTTCAGGTGCATCAATGGATTAAACTAGGCACACATAATTGTCGCGGCTGTTTTTAACTGTTGGAGCTCTTAAAAATACTAAATACGCTCCAAGCAAACAGTTATAAACAGCGAACACCTTTTTTAGCGGCTCCAGAGTTGTTGATGCCTGTGTAGCGGCATCCTGGCAAGTCTGGTCAGAGCCCATCAAAGCTTGTGGCAATTTTATCAGCTTATGTGCTGAAGCGGTGCTGATCCCATTGTTTTCCTGGAATTTTGAGATATCATTGAAGATTGCCTCAACTCTATTTGCCTTTCGGATTCACGTACATCAGAGGAACTAAAAAGATAGCAAGAAAAAATGTAAAACTTAACTTGTTTACAATGCTAGCTGTGCGTTTGTTTCGGGCAGCTTAAACACACTACAAAGATGATGAAAAACTTTTAATTTGGAGTAGATCGAACGCTTTAGCTGATATGTATAGTTAATGTACAGTGTACACCAATGTGCACGGTTCAGAACCTGGCTCGCATTCAATGTTCAGGATAGTTGCCAAGTCTGCCAGCACGAAGTAGCACATTCCCACCGAGGCTATTCAAACCGAGTACCGACTGGCCTAGAATAAAACGAGCCTGTCTTGATCTAATATCCTTCAGAAGGTCAGCAATAAATTCGTTTCATTCGAGCCCACAGCTCTCGATCCGTCTGGCGGCCGCCGGGACCCTGGGTATGCACGGAGGAGCGATCACGAACGGACCGTGACTGGGGTGCCGATCCCTGCCCCCCGGCCGGCCGGGTCACGCCGGAAGCGGGCCTCCCGGGCTGATGGCGCCGCATCGGCTCAGTCCGTGACGACGTTAGGCACGGCCGTCACCGCCAGCCGGTCCCGTGCCGCGGCACGTGGCGAGGCACGTGGCTCGCATGTGCGCCGTGCGAGCGTGCGGAATAATTCGACTGTGATTGGGTAGATTCATTATCGGCAAGTGGGTAATGGGGATGTTTTGATGTCGCAAAAGGTCATATGTTCTTATATTGAGTTGTTAATATGCTGCTGTGTGCTAGGTCAGTTATGCTTCTTTCTTTTTTGGTACGTGGAACATGTCTAATGAAACATGTGATTGCTCGGAGAGAATACTGAGCTTTGCGTCAGTGCGCATAAGTTGTCGAGAAGTCGACGTTTTAGATGCACAAATGAGAAGTTTGCATGTAAGTACACAGACGAACTCAATACTGACTGCACATTGGATCGTTGCTAACCCGAATTGGTGCAAGTTGCAGCCATTCAATCAGTATATTCACCTCCCTGCCCTATAATTAGTAATACTTTGTTTTGAATATCGTAGAAGAATAACCTTATGCTCACTATCTTTAAACAAACAAAAAAATTAGCCTAAAATCAATGAATATATTTCGGAAACGTTCCTTCTTCAGTTCAAAAAGTTAACTATACAAGCCACAGAAATGTACAAATAATTGAACGTCACAAAAGCGCCGAATTCACTGATCCCACCTACGAATATTAGTCACATTCTCGTGCCATATAAGTAGAACGGCCTCTTTTAATCAACGCAAGACTAAAATAACAGGTATACATAAGGTAACGTAACCAAATACAACTGTATGAGATCACTTGTGACCCAACGAATAACTATGCTAGTCATCTTAGAAACACACAATATAATTACAACTAACATGCAAGGTGTACACAACCAACTACTCAATAGATCGATTGTCTAGCCAACAAACTAGCCATTCATCCAATTGTTCAATCAACTAGTTACACCCATTACATTCAGTCATGGAGTCGACAAACCATTCAAGTATCCATTCCAAATCATTCAATCAAACGTTTTATCATACAATCAAGCAGTCATTCAATCAAACAAACAACGATTTTATCATCCAATCAAGCAACTCTTCAACCATTAAATCAATCAGACCCACAGTCGTCCATTCAATCATCTATCAATCTATCATTCAATATTCCATTTAATCATACATATAATCAACCATTCAATGATTCATTCAAACATCGGCATTTAATAAAACATCTAACTAAGCATCTCAAAAGCCAAAAGATCTAACAGTCATGAGGCTATCCCAACATCTATCACGTCTCAGTCTGACAGTTCACACTAATCACAGAACTGCCCAAGATGCGATGTTGGTGTTTAGGGCTGGTCGGTATGTCCTTATCCATAGCGACTCTGCTATTTTTCTGTCTCTGCTGGTGTTGCATGTCTGTAGGATCTTGGCCGCGATGTGTTGGGGCTCTGGGCGACATCGAGGGTGGTCATCTCTGAAGTGGTCGCCCCACGGTGAGTCCATACGGTGGTTCTTCGCGTCCCGTAGATGTTCATTGTAGCGAAGTCGTATGTGACGTCCGGTTTCGCCAATGTAGCTCCGGTTGCACAGCGTGCAGGTAAGTTGGTATACCACTCCGGAACTGTGGCACCGGCCCTGTAGTCCTGCAGCACACGAGTGGCAGCGCACACTGGTCGGAAACGCTCCAGCGAGAGGCCAGCGGCCTTTCCGCAAAAGTTTTTTGCTTGTTATTCCACAACTAGTGAAGCAAACTTCATAAAACTTTGCATACCTTCTCTGTCATATGTAAGCTATCATTTGGATGTCAAGCACTAAATATATGACGTAAATCTGTTAAGTTATGACGTCATAATTGAGAATAATACAGGATCTAGCACCACTTTAAGTCTAGAAGGGAAATTTGGAGCTGCTATTCGGGCACCGGGAATGGTTTCATGCACTCCTTGCAAGGTCCAGTGCTTGACTTTAGCATTGTTGACTTTGCGTGACGTCATTTATGACGTCACTAATGCCATGTAAGTTTTCCGTCAATAACTCCTGATCAGATGGAGCTAGAGAGTCGGGAAAGCCACCATTGGACTCAGGAAGACCTGCCGAATCGAATGATATGCGATATGACCTCCTTCAACCATTTTCGTGACCTGAGGGGCTCCGACCTGACCTTGACCCGAGGTTAACACCTTAACCCTCGCCGGCACAGGGGGGGGGGGGTATGATCGCGACGAAACTTTTAGTACCCTCGCATTGATCAATTTTACACCTACCCTGAAAATTGCATGACCCTGACCCCAATGACCTGTGACCTCTTTTCCGTGACCATGTTTGGCCGAAATCGCGATTCGGCGTATGTCGGCTCGCATTAGCCGCGCGTTTGCAAGCTTTTCGTGGTTTCAAACGTTCAAACATGTGATTTGATGTTGCTCCCATACATTAGGATGGGTGTCAAGGTCACCTGAAGGTCAGGTCAGGTCATTGACCTTTGGTGACCTCGCGGGTGACCTCGGTTCACTTTTTCGAGTTTTACATGTTTCTAGGCTAGTTTTTGGAGCTGAATTCTAATTAAGCAACCAATTGAACATTTACGAAGTAGTTTTGGTGCCTTCGTAACATGTTACGAAGCTGTCAGAGGCGGTTGACACGTATTACGAATACCCGTCACAACCCCTACCGGTTGACCTGACCTGACCTGACCCGACCTGGTTTAAATGCTTAAAGGAAATAGTTCACTTTTTAACATGGGTTTTGAACTGGAATAGCAGTTCCGTAGCTTGGGCTGAGACGAGCATAAATCAGGAGCTTTTACAGCCCAACGATCACCCTAGGCAAAGATATTCTATTTCTCGTCCCGAAAAAGGTGTCTTGCGTTGAGGATGTGTGCCTTGCATATATTTCCATCCAGTATGAAAAGTGCATGGGTCCCGAAAATTCTTAAGAAACTAGAGAAATTATCTACGAGAACTCTAGAGAAATTCTCGTACTGATCAATTAGGACATTCAGGGGAACATTATCAGATCGAGCAGATCGCCCAAATGCCGGTGGCTGCGATAATTTCTCTGTTTCTGAAGAATTTTCGGGACCCATGCTCTTTTCATACTGGATCGCTTGTGCCTTACAGAAACTGAAAAGTTCTTCCTATATCAAAATATAGAGAAAAAAAATCTTTTGTTATAAAAAGGTTTTATTTTCTTTGCTGATTATTTCGAACATAAAAAAATAATAAATCGTTGCAAAAAAAAAAATAATTTCGTGAAAGTGAACTATTTCCTTTAAAGACATCATCTCTGATCAAAACTTATACGATATTCGTGATCAGCACCCCGGAAAACCACATAGCAGCCACAATTTACGACTTTCTAACAGGTCCCGATTTTCCCGGTTTTCGGGTCATTGATCTGACCTGGAAGGTCACCCGATGACCTAGGACCTTAAAATTGGGTATCATCGGCTTCCTCTCGTGACGGGCAACACGCTCGTTTTTTCCGCGAGGCTCTAGCTCGATCAGGGGCCAAACGCGAGGGGGGTCGTACCACCCCCCCCCCCCCTTGTGCCGTCGAAGGACGCAAAATTGCCTGTGCCGGTGAGGGTTAAGTTGACTTCACCCGAACACCAAGTATAGCATTTAACGCGCCTGAGCTAGACAAACACGATTATGCCAAAATCGCGGCAGTGCGACCATTTTTGGCAAAGTAATTAACCTAAAACCGAGCCCGTGCCTTGTGGCACCTGACCTAAGAGGTCACTGGCTGACCTAAGACCTTAAAATCGGGTAGTACCTAATTTTTGCGTCTTATAACGGCACACAAGCTTGTTTTTTCCGCGAGGCTCTAGCTCAATTAGAGGCGAAACGGCGAGGGAGATGTACAGTTCACAGCAGAAGCAATGTGGGGTTTCAGTCATGGGTATGTTCTGCTTCTGAAGCTTAGGAACGATTAGCCAGACTACAATGAAACTTTGAATGTAGCTTATATGTATCGTCACCCTTGCAGCTGCAACTTTAGCTATTGACATCTTCTTTTCGATCACTCCGCATTAAACAATCGCTAGTCAAAGCCAACCGTTGAGATTGGTAAAACCCTACATTACTTTACCGGTGGGCTGTACCAACCCTCCCCGGTCAATGTAGAAAACCAATCGGTCCGGCCAGGGTTAAATACCGGAATTTAAAAAGACGGCCCAAGGTAACCCGACGTCAGTGACAGGTGTCCTATATTTGCAGCGTCTTATATTCACGAAGGTTTCAATTTCCACTTTCTTCAGCCGAGTGATGGTTGTCAATAGCAAGGCTCTCTAAATACAAGCCGTAATCGCCACGCAATATGTGGAAGGCTTTTGATGTCAATACATACATAAATGCATACATAAAAAGCGCTTTTCACAAAATTCATAAACTCAAGCGCATCTGTTTTTAATGACCAGTCAGCTGCGCATGGATGCGTGCAGGCCACACAGGTCAGCGTAAGCCGGGCGCGGCGGCCGAGCCGAAACTGGGGCGGGGCGGGCGGTAGTTGGGTAGGAAGAACGGCTCCTGCAAATTTTGCGCAAATATGCGCAGTTAGCTTTTATGTTGCCCTGGTGTAAATTTAAATCCTACTTCATCTCACAAAAAATCAGGGTGGAACTAGATGGGACTACCTGTTGTTTCCTTACCTAAACTTTGCAGTTATATTCCAGAATCACTGTAGGAGAGCCTTCATAAAAAAGCTATAGTACATCTTAGTTAGTGAAAAAGTATACCAAAAATTTTGCACTGACCAGTCGGCAACTTCATAACAAACATTTTGATGCATAATATGTGGGATTTCAATTTGGTGTCTATCAGCAATAAGACTCTGAATATCCGCCTCAAGAAACCTCTTGCTCCGCGTTAGTTTCCGAGTTCTGGGATACCCCATCTTCGGGGGCTGATAACAGCTATTTTTGGTCAACCGGATTAGTTTTTTTGGCCTAAGTATAATAATTTGATCAATTTCAAATCGATCTATATAAAAAATAATCCGAAACTCCGGAATCGCCCGTGGCCTCTCGTGAGGGCGTTTCCGACCAGTGTGCAGCGTGAGCCACCAGGACACGGAGGTGGTTTCAGGGCCGAGCGCACCAGCTGGTTCTTGATGGTCTGTTTGTTGGTCCAGGTCACTCCTAGGTTCTGTTGGCCACTCTTGTGTACGATGGCCTGTACGGTTTGGGCTAGCTTGTCATCGATGAAAGGTAACACGAGCCTTGTTACCGGCGTTGCTCGTCTTCTTGGTCTTGGTCTTGAGGTCTGGCAGCAACTGATGGCTCTGCTGATGGTGCGCATGTTGTAGCCGTTGTTCAGGAACAGGTCTTTGATTTTCTCTATGCTGCGTTCACGAGCGCTGTTGTCACTGGAGATGTTGATGGCACGTCGTATTTGGGAGTGCAGCACAGCTCGCTTGGTTTTCCACGGGTGTGCCGAGTCAGCGTGTAGTATGATACCAGCCGATGTGGGCTTGATGTACAGCTCAGTGGTGTACTTTCCCGTGGGTTCGACTGTGATGCTGGTGTCCAAGAAGGGAATGGATGGCGTCTTGTCAGTCGATTCGATGGTGAACTTGATCGATGGATGTGCGTCGTTGATGTGACGGAAATACTCTTGAAGATTGGCAGAGCCATGGGTCCACACTCCGAGTACGTCGTCGATATACCTCATGTATAGGTCGGGTTTGTGTGAGGCACTGGTGTTGAAGTCCCGTTCCAAGCTGTCCATAAAGATGATAGCAAGCGGTGGGGCCACACGACTACCCATGGCGATACCGCTTGTTTGGCGATAGTATTTTTCGCCAAATCTCAAGAAGTTAGAGTTAACGAAGTTAACGCAGCATAGAGAAAATCAAAGACCTGTTCCTGAACAACGGCTACAACATGCGCACCATCAGCAGAGCCATCAGTTGCTGCCAGACCTCAAGACCAAGACCAAGAAGACGAGCAACGCCGGTAACAAGGCTCGTGTTACCTCTCATCGATGACAAGCTAGCCCAAACCGTACAGGCCATCGTACACAAGAGTGGCCAACAGAACCTAGGAGTGACCTGGACCAACAAACAGACCATCAAGAACCAGCTGGTGCGCTCGGCCCTGAAACCACCTCCGTGTCCTGGTGGCTCACGCTGCCACTCGTGTGCTGCAGGACTACAGGGCCGGTGCCACAGTTCCGGAGTGGTATACCAACTTACCTGCACGCTGTGCAACCGGAGCTACATTGGCGAAACCGGACGTCACATACGACTTCGCTACAATGAACATCTACGGGACGCGAAGAACCACCGTATGGACTCACCGTGGGGCGACCACTTCAGAGATGACCACCCTCGATGTCGCCCAGAGCCCCAACACATCGCGGCCAAGATCCTACAGACATGCAACACCAGCAGAGACAGGAAAATAGCAGAGTCGCTATGGATAAGGACATACCGACCAGCCCTAAACACCAACATCGCATCTTGGGCAGTTCTGTGATTAGTGTGAACTGTCAGACTGAGACGTGATAGATGTTGGGATAGCCTCATGACTGTTAGATCTTTTGGCTTTTGAGATGCTTAGTTAGATGTTTTATTAAATGCCGATGTTTGAATGAATCATTGAATGGTTGATTATATGTATGATTAAATGGAATATTGAATGATAGATTGATAGATGATTGAATGGACGACTGTGGGTCTGATTGATTTAATGGTTGAAGAGTTGCTTGATTGGATGATAAAATCGTTGTTTGTTTGATTGAATGACTGCTTGATTGTATGATAAAACGTTTGATTGAATGATTTGGAATGGATACTTGAATGGTTTGTCGACTCCATGACTGAATGTAATGGGTGTAACTAGTTGATTGAACAATTGGATGAATGGCTAGTTTGTTGGCTAGACAATCGATCTATTGAGTAGTTGGTTGTGTACACCTTGCATGTTAGTTGTAATTATATTGTGTGTTTCTAAGATGACTAGCATAGTTATTCGTTGGGTCACAAGTGATCTCATACAGTTGTATTTGGTTACGTTACCTTATGTATACCTGTTATTTTAGTCTTGCGTTGATTAAAAGAGGCCGTTCTACTTATATGGCACGAGAATGTGACTAATATTCGTAGGTGGGATCAGTGAATTCGGCGCTTTTGTGACGTTCAATTATTTGTACATTTCTGTGGCTTGTATAGTTAACTTTTTGAACTGAAGAAGGAACGTTTCCGAAATATATTCATTGATTTTAGGCTAATTTTTTGGTTTGTTTAAAGATAGTGAGCATAAGGTTATTCTTCTACGATATTCAATAATGCTGCTCATTTTAGTACTTCGCCATCTTATTATACTTTGTTTTGATACGGTTTCTCATAAAAAGTTAAGTTCAGATTACTTTCGGGAAAGGAACGAGAATGCAACTCATGCTCGGAATACTCAAAACATGTAAACTCGAGCATTGCTTTGGCTTGGTTTTGCAATTTTTTGCTCGACGATTCATGCTGGGTTCTAGAACTGCTGTTTTATCAGCATAGTTGAAATTTCCATATCTTCGAAATTCCATTGTCCTCGGTTTGCCGTATTATTGTATGCATCCATGAGACTCACGTGCAACTGCCAGGCTACTGTTGAACTGGCTGGCACTGGCTACTGTGCAAGGCCGTATAACTACTGTGTATGAACACATTACATGCCGCTTGAAAAGAATGCTGTATCACGAAAGGAATGAAGTCAACAGGAGCTATCCGTCTTTTGCGACAGTGCGAAAACCGGCTGTCTTGGTTGTCGCGTGTCTGTTGTTTCCAGAGAGGCAGACACAGAGAGCACCGCGCCCCGCCCCTCCGTGCGCCCCGGCAAGCCCCTGTCTGCGGACACCGTCCGTCAGGACAGGGTGGGCCACCCAAAATGTCGCCAGCTGATGTACGAGCGCCGTTCATCGGATTACATGCACGGTAGCTCGGCGCGGGCCAGCCCGGCCTACACGAATCGCTGTCACGCAGCTTGAAAACGCCGCCTGCATGCAGCGAGCCCTTGTGAGGTAAAGGTTACAAGGGGGTCTTTCACCCTTTATCGCCTGGCGGGATGCTCCTCTCAGCCGCAACCTCAGAGCCATTGGAGTATCCTCTAGGATTAGGTAGACGCATGTTCCCGCGGCGATTAGCAATTTGCGTTTAGTTTATATTGAGTTATACTCTTCATTATAAGTTGATATTTTATGCATAATATAGGAGTGATTTATAAATGTCCGAGAACACACTAACATGAACAGAAGTTCCCAGGTGGTGAAGCATGATAAGCATGTGACCCGTCTCGGAAACCCGCACATTCGGACGCGTGACCTGTGGTGACCAGACGTCACCTGACATTTATAGGAATCGCCTGCACGCCAGTATAATCAAAACGAACACCGTGGGAAAGACAGGCACTTAACAGTCGGGCTAATTATGGCAGTTGAGTGACCTCGCGACATAATTTACTGCAATTGCCTCAGTCAGCTGTCAACGATTGTAGGTGATTGGAAGGGTGCACTGATAGTCGATAATTGTCCGCCAGGTCGTGAGGGTGTTTTGTAGCAGCCTAACATGATATACGTGTATGAGGATAGAGGTAGGTACACCGTGCAATTTGCTAAGGGCGTTCATTCCTTTTTGTTCCGCGTATTTTATCCGTCACTTTTGTGATACGAGTCACATAGAAAAAAGAACCCTGAAATTTATAGGCCAAATGACAATGTTATGTGCCAGAAAAATGTAATTTGCAGTGATCTACAGACATAAAACGAAAACGTTATCGTGCACAAGTCAGTGGATTAATGCGCCCCTTGAAAACGTTCTTCTGGCAGTGACGGAGATAGCGGACTCGGGACTTCTCCGGTCTCCAGACTCAGACCCATCACCCGGGAGCTACTGGTATCCGGAATGGCATGGACCGCGCACCGTAATGTGAGTACCAGCCTCCCACCCCAGTACCCTCCGCCCGTGGGCGTCATGTTTGCACCTGGAGTGTGCGATCAACACGTTCCCGATTGGCAGCCGTTACGAACGGGATCAGACGCCTGTAGCCGGACCCGCGGCGCCGGGCCCTCGGGTCAGCGGGTGGGTCCGGTCCGGCAGGTGGGTCCTCGGATCAGCAGGTGGGTCCGGCCCGGCGGGTGGGTCCGGATCCGGCGCCCGGTCCTCGGGTCAGCAGGTGGGTCCGGCCCGGAGGGGTCCGCACGGTCCGCCGGTCCTCAGATGTCGGCCGGCTGACGGACGGGGCGGAGAATGTTATCGGTGCCGCTCCGTCCGGCCATCGGCCGATCGCCGTCGGTCCCCGCGCCCCGCCCCGAACTGACAATGATCGGAAATTAGGCGCGCTGCTGCGAGCGTGTGCTATCGGTCCTGGCGGCCCGGGTGGGCGGCGGCCGCGGCACGCCGGTGGGCGGCGGCCGACGGACCCGGCGCTGCCTTTTACGGCAAGGTCGGTCAGCTCTGGTCGGCGTGGGCAGGTCGGGGCGGGCCGTTAGACTGGCTGCGACTGGCCCCGGCGCCATCAGACACAATCCCAAAAGGCAGCGAAGCTGAAGAATACACGCAACTGCCGTTTGATCAAGGCAGTCGCGTGTATCTACGATCCAATACTCAGAGCAGAAGACACAGTTCAGGCTATCTCTTGTGATTATGGACACAGGTATTGCTGCCGGAGCTTCGTTCTCCTGCCGGCTGCAGGGCAATATTTTCGGCCCGCCACCCGGTGCTTGGCAGCGTCAGGCGGAGACAGCGACACAGGCGGCTGCCGGGAGACCGATATTGACACTCGACCGGCAAATATCTGACGGGCTGCTTCGTAGAGGTCATTACCAGAGCGATGCGTATTCTCGTGTCGCGGAGAGCAGGCGCACGGCCAGCCCCGGCGCCTTTCTAGGATATTGTGCAGGTGTCTTATTTCAGAAGCTGCGTTCGTCACGGCTGCAATCTTCGGTAGGATTCATGTGTATGTGGCTCAGTGATCAAAGAATAGGGAATCGCCCAACAGGGAATTACTACAAGAAGCCTGACAGTCATTTTGACTGGCGTTATGGGTTAAGTTATTGGATCTACGATTGACAATTTGAACCTGAATCATGTCGACTGTATCAGACTTATAGTCTCTCTTATCAGATCAATAGTCTCTCTTTAATTGCATTTAGTGAAAGTGTTTACTTTCAACAAAAGAGTCTTGTTTCAGCGCAAGCGCTTCATTTTTACTAACACCCTCAATTCACCTTTATTTTCGTTGGGTGGACTTTATGACGATATCGCGTTATTGAACTTTCCACTGCTGTGCCTCTACTCCACCCCATTGTTTTTCTAGTGACGAAACCCTCTTGGGACAAAAGTCATTTCCTCGCGCACGTTATAAATCTGTTCCTCATCTCCTGGCTTTATTTCACCGGGTGCGTCGAGGCCGACAGAATAGCGCCCGCCTCTCTCCGGCCACGTTTTATGCCGACCCCCTCCCCTCCCCGTCCACCTGAGGCCGACACGTGCCGGCCGCCGCCACCTGGGCGCCACGTTTGGCCGCGTTTCGCCACGTTCCGCCGCGTTTCACGAGAAAACACGGGCTGACGTTCGACGGACGGCCCCGCCGCTCAGCTCTGCGGAAGTCAGCGGCGGCCGCGTGCCACTGCCCTCACAGCATTGCCGACTCAGCCGGCGCCGTGGCGACCATCCATCCTGAACGGATCACGCAGCCCCAGAGGTGATCGCTGCAGCTTAACCCGCGAGTTGCTGGGGGGGCGTTAAACGCCCCCACTTTTTTCGCCGGGCCATAGCATAAAAACGGCGCGCCGCAGGCGCGCAAAATTTTGGCTTCCTGTAGGGAATTGATTGAAGTTTATTGTGCAAAAGTTTCAAAAAATCAATCGGAAAATTTTTGAGATATCGAGGTTTTAGTGACGTCATGATTTCTGAGTTTTCGACCAAAAACGGCTTATGTTCAAAAAATCATATAAAATCACAGAATAGACATACAGACATGCCGTAAACGCCATTAGACTGCAAATACCATGCACAATCAGATGGCTATCTTCGATTATTGATTATCGTTCCGCATTTTCCAAAATCTTGAACTGAATCTTGGCAATTTCTCGTGACTACTTCACGACCATGATACATGCATTTCTTAAATTGAACTTTTTGAGCCAAACACGTACACATATGATAAAATGAATGTCACCATCGTGTTCTACGCCCCAAATTACCCATAAAACATGTGTCACAGGCTGCGAATATCAGTTTTGATTTTCGGGGATATGTGCCTACCCGGTTGACCTGACCTTGACCCTGACCTATGTTTGATTGACCCCTACATGGAGCTGACACTCTTGTAGGCCTTATATGATGGCTTGCGCACCGTTTTGACAGAGTTTATGACGAGAGGCGCCCATTACGAAGTCCTCAAATCCATGCTACTGAAAGCCCGATTTCAGGTGTTTGACCTGACCTTGACCCGACCTGTGACCTCAAAATTCAACTTTAAAGTACTCATCTGAAGCGTCTCGTCGCGTTCTTTCGTTTGCCGCCTCGTGCGTTTCGCTGCGCCTATTGGTTCTCGAGATATCGGCTGGGGGCGTTTAACGCCCCCCCCCCCCCAGCAAACGGTGGGTGGCGAAATACCCCAGCAACTGCCGGGTTAACAAATGGTGGCCGGGTGCCCTGGCGATGACGGCGCGGATCAGGGCAGCCTGCTTAGCGCGGTGCTCTCTCCACATGCGCGCCGGCGCACGCCGCGGCCGCGCCTTTGTCGCCGCCCGTATAACTACTCAGCGCTGCTCACAGCCTCGAGCCGTTACTTACTATCGCGCCTTGCTGTCGACTCACAAGGTGTGAGAGATGAGCGCAGAAACGGGCGCCGCCTCTGCCGAGCGCAGTGACCGATGGTTTGTTTTTGTTGCGCCGCGCTCGCCGCCGGAGCGCCGGTGGGGTTCGACGAGACGCCGAGGCGCGTGGGTGTCGATGGGGCTCGGCTCCCGTCTGTGTTACTGCCGGACGTGGGGGCGGTCAGAGCTCCAGAGGCCGCCGGCTGCGGGGCGAGATGGGTTCCGGTCGGACTCCGGCGGCGCGGCGGCGGCTGGGGCGTCTGAGAACACTGGATTGGACGCCTAGTTACCCGCACCAGGTCACTGCTCCCCGGTCCGGGGCGTGGCGTGGGGACCTGAACCGGTCACCGTCCGCCGCGCCGGTCAGCTGCAGAATGTAGAGCGTTATTTGCGAGCGCGATAAGTAGTGCAGCGGACGGCACCGCCCGCGCCGCTGTCACCTGAGGTCGGCAGAGGAGGGGGCGGATCCCCGGCAGGTGGTCAGGTCACCGCCCTTCCGGTCACCGCCAGATGGCAGGTCACGAGTCAGGGTGCTGGGGCGGGGGAAGGGCACTCCCGGTCATTCATTGTAAGTCATGGCGGTCCCAGCGGTCATTCATTGGCAGTCGGCCGGCGGGGAGGCCGCGGCACCTGACTGCAGCCGGATAACTAACGCTGACGAGGCCGAGATGGTCAGCCGTAATCCCGACCTCAATGCGCCGCTACAGGTGATCATTTACCGAGTGAGTGGTGCGACACGACCGCCGAGTTTGATAGATGCGCCGTAATTGTATTGCAGGGGTGGCCGCCGACCGGGGTTTTCAAGGCGGGTTCGCTGCAAACCGTGCTCTAATAGAAGGCTGGAGAGGGATATCGTTGTTATGATTCTTTTTTTGGAAGGCTGGTATTGTTAGATTTTAGAATCAGGTAAAAAACAAACACGAAATTGAATGCAAACCAAGCTTCTTTTTGTCTTGTTAATGCCAGAAATATGTATGCAACATGATTATGCAATGCTGTTGCAACATGTGCAATACAATTATTTGAATAATCTGGGTGCTGGTTGCTGCTATGTTCTGTGAATAACTATGCAACAATAGTTCTTAAGTATTTCTATTCCCCTTGAAAACACTGGGTCAAGACTATCGTTAATACACGTGATATTTGAACCGGGTTTATCTTGTCAATCAACATACGCCTCAACAATAACAACTTAAACACGAAAATAGTTTCATTTAATAACATTGGTGATTGTATTGCGCTATGTCTCATCGTTATCTCACTCTAGCTCTGTTTGTCTGTTTCTTTCTATGAGAGTTCGTTATCCGCTAATGGCATCCGCTCACGATATCATCAGGTAATTTCAGTCCACCTCTAAGGCACATGTTACGGCGCCGTTTGCTCCACGTGAACTGCGCTTCTACCGGTACATCTCCTGACAAGGCACCATCACCGGCTCTCAGAAGCCAGATCGGCCTTTGACGACCGTAACAAGCTTCCCCTGACGGCGCAGTCAGAGGTCAACAGTCAGCAACAGTTTTTACAGACCCTATCTATAAAAACGGGGTCCGGCATCACTGGTCAGCGACAGTGGTCAGTGGTCACTGGGCTGGGATCAGCGATCAGTGGTCAGCGGATGGTCAGCTGCTGACCGTCAGAAGTCATATTTTTACTTTCAAGTGCGATGTCAAATTTCATATAGTTCTCCTAGCTTTGTTTCCAAGAGTTGCGTTGTGCAATAATGGATGCTTGTATGCAGTGCGTAGGCATTTATGAACTTCATAAGCAGCTTTCAATAGCCATTCGCCAATACTCCCATCTGTGGTAATTCATTTCAAGGCATTTCTTTCCAGCCCAGGATGGGCACGGACTTCGGTTCGAACCGAAACAAAAACAAACATTACCCGGTGGAATAGCCATTGTAGTGGTGATTTTAGCCGTGGGTGCGTGCCGCAGGTCAGTTTCACGGCCGCGCCGATCCGAATGCATTGCAGCCGGCACCACGGAGAGCGTGCGCCGAATGGCCGCGCCAGGCCGCAGAGGTAACGGGAAAATACGGCCGATAAGACGCTGTCACTGCCGGAAATTTACGGTCGCCGTCGATACCGAAAGAAACCGGGCCGAACTACGCGCCTCTCGTTCAATGGGCCTGTGGCTCCGCTCTGGAATGGCTTTGTAAGAGGGCCAATACGCCACTGGCACGTCGAAAATAGGTGTGCAGGTGTCGGTGCACCGGGGTTGTGACAGTACTATATTGTGGACGAGCTGCATGAGTTCAAATCACTGGCAAAGCGAGTTTCATTTTCATCTTGTTATGATCAGGTTTTGCGTGGGTAAAACGCTCATGCCAAATAACAATGGAAAAGAAATGAAGAAAGCCGCGCCCCGCCTGTGTTGCTGTCCACGTGCTATGTCAGCAGCACCTCAATGGTAGTTCAATGCAGAAATCTTATTTAGAGGGAGAATAGCCGCATTGCTGGTCCCTATTGACAGCTTCCTTCAGAGGCCATTCCGCTGCCAATGGAGCTGATGCTGGAAGCTGATCACAAACATTGAAGCATCAAGTGGAACTGAATCGATAAAAACGCTGCAGCCGTTAGAGACGCTGCACATTTGCGATGCTCAGAAGTGCATTGTCGAGACTTTCATTTTCCATTTGATGACATCTTCCAAAGGCAAAGTCACAAGAGGCTACAGAGAAATAGACTGCACCGAGTCTAATCGGCATTTTACTGTTATCGTCCAATGAAAGCAGGTGCCAATCGCAGCAGTGGAGATGATCAATGATGATTTTGATTAGCACCGAAGCAAAAAGTTGTCTGTCCCTTTGAATACATCCAAGGTCCATTTAGGCTTGAGTGACGAACAGCGGTGCGTCGGGAGCTCTCTCTCTCTCTCTCTCTCTCTCTCTCTCTCTCTCTCTCTCTCTCTCTCTCTCTCTCTCTCTCTCTCTCTCTCTCTCTCTCTCTCTCTCTCTCTCTCTCTCTCTCTCTCTCTCTCTCTCTCTCTCTCTCTCTCTTTCTCTCTTTCTCTCTCTCTCTCTCTCTCTCTCTCTCTCTCTCTTTCTCTCTCTCTCTCTCTCTCTCTCTCTCTCTCTCTCTCTCTCTCTCTCTCTCTCTCTCTCTCTCTCTCTCTCTCTCTCTCTTTCTCCCTCTCCCTCGGTGAGTCACCTGGCATACATATAGCGACGCGTCATCACACTACCTTCCAGTACCATCCATCACAATCTCAACACAGATACCCAGCCTCGGATGTCAGCTGGGCTCCTGCGAGCAGCATACGCCTATCACATCAGAGACGCCCAGCTCGCGAGCGCCATATTCGGCCTGCTGCACACGCGCTATCACTGAGGGGCTGGACTGAGCCGCCAGCACGTGCGAGCCGCCGGACCGGACCGCGCCCGGGCTGGTCGCGCCGCCACCAGACAGCCGCCCTCGAGAGACGCACCATACAGGGGCGCGGAGGCGGCGGCATCGGCCGTCATCGGGCCGCCGCCGGCCCGCCCCGCCGCGCCGATGGCCTTGTCCGGAGCGGAGACATCAGACAGCCATCGGAGCGAGTCAGATCAGAGAGGACTGGGAGGGCGCCGGAGGACCAGCTGGTCCGACCCGACCCGGTCCGGCGGGGACCGAGCCAGACCGACCCCGCCCCTGCTCAGGGGTGAGGGAGGGAGGAGGAAGCTTACTGCCGAGCGGAAAACAAGCTGATCCCAAAAAGCCGCTGCAGGAGAGCGCGTGTCGAGAATTTATCGCAACCGTGTTCACCGGTCTCTTTTATAGCGCAGAAATAATGAGTCTAGCTGATACCCTACTAGAAGAGAGTTGAAAACAGCATTAGTTAGGTTAGGAAGCGGCTCTTGTCGAGCTGATGCTGTTCGTAGAAAATAATGATCCTTATTATGGAGATTAATTGATTAAATTGTCACATCTTTTTATCCTGAGTTTTTATCAGATGAGATAGGATTCAGATTTGTATTTGCTTAACAATGGTACCACATCATCGTGTCAAGTTAAGTGCAAATAATATAGTATTTCATGCCGTTAAAGCTATGAAATAAATCTTCTAAGTCATTACTTTTATTAGCTATCGAGTCTGCATCTGATATGGGTGTTATGATAAACTTCGCAATGAAACTCAGTCGACCATTACTCTTATTCTGACTTCAAACGACAATGGAAGTCACGAACCATAACCTTTATGAGAGCGAGTCACAAATGATTGCTCCTTTCGTCACTGGGCAATTATATAAGTATTTTGACACGCAAGAGGCACTAAAATCTATACGCGCGTCGGAGTCCGTTTAGTTGCTTGAACACTGGCGTGGCACTATAAATTTAACCCAGCAGTGCCACTCCCCTGTAAGGCTGGCTACAGGTGACTCTGCATGGGATCCCTCGACGGCATGGCGATCGCTTCGACACCTTGCAGGCAAACGAGTTGACTACATGGCAGCATGTCAAATAATGCGACGTCTTGTGACTGACGTACATGCCACTCAATGTGACTCTTCAATGACAGCGACATACATGTAAGCATGTGATGCCTGTGAGAGATAGGTGCATGATTACTTTTACTACTACGCCTTGTAGCGAAAATGTGACGGCTCTGTACGGCCTAACGAGATGAGCGTCGCTTGTCAACATTGAAGGTCCTTGCCACCTATTTTATTTAGTCAGCAGTGCATGTCTGTTACATGATAGATAGTCCGCGAGCACGGTGCGTGTGATACGTGTGATCCATTTGGAGGTACCCACACCGGCGGCGTCTCGATGACGCGCCAATTAGTCGGGTACCGCGGCGGAGCCCCGCCCCGACGGCGGTCCGCTGATGTCACCTGTTTACGGCCCGCTGCCAGCGCCGGCAGCCGTCCCCGGTCGGCAGATAGCGCCCGTAAACGGCTCCTCTGACGGCTCGATAACCGCTCACACACACCGAGCCGCGAAAATATATACCGGCCTGGTTAACACGACCACCTGATAAACGTAAACAGACATTCGATCCGACCGCGAGATTGGGCGCAGTATGGATGAATGCCGAGGCTTTCATTTAAAAGTAAAAAATGTCCGTCAGTTATTGCAGGAATGTTGCTGCCTCCCTTCATTAAGAAGGCGCCCGTGCTGGCCATGACATTTTTACTAGAATAGTGACAGAATCACCGACATTCGATGAGTTCAGCGCTCGACTCGGTGTTTACGACCGTCCGCATCATTAGCCCTGATTAGGAGAGCAATCACTGGATAACGTACGGTCAATATTCACGGCCCAGTCTATAACTCGAAGTTAAACAGGCTCAACCATGTCAAACATGCTCCATCAGCTTTGTTCAGTGTCCATAGCCGCCGCCATGGACTGTCAGACTAAAGGATTTAGCTGGGAAGATGACATATCAACTGACGACTCACTTCAAGTTCGCTAAAGGCCGACACTATCGCTCCGTAAATCCTTCACCAGCACGCTGGTCGCTGGCGTCACCATTGTTTCTCGGCACGCCCGCGCCACTGACCGACGATTAATAAGACATCACTATGACCGAGTTATATACGGCGAGGATTCGAGGGATTGAATTCGAGACAATCGCTGCCAGGAGCTGTACCTTTCACAGGCACGGGGTGAACTACCGAGTGATGCGGTTTTCTCGATATAAATTGAGCTCGAAACTCATCTCATGCAGACAGACAGGTCAGCAGGATGACAGCCACTGGCCGTGTCTATCCTTCAATGACCTCCCCCTCCCCTCCCCTCCCCTCCCCTCCCTCTCCCAGTCCAAGCTCTACTCACCACGGTGAGCGCGGCGGCGCCCGACTCCGGCTGAGCCACCATCTCGCGCAGTGTGACCGGCGTGTGGATGGCCCCCTGGTCGTGGCAGTTGACGTAGAGCTGCACGCGCGCAGACGGCTGCTCCTGGTTCACCCGCAGCACCATCGAGTGGATCACGTTGTGCAGTCGCACCGTGTCCACCGACCAGTGCTGGGTGCGGATCCGACCCAGCTCCATTGTCTGGAGAATCACTGCCGGACAGGGGCGAGCGGAGGGTGGTTAATTGGTCAGTGGCACTGCCGGACAGGGGCGAGCACGGGGTGGTGAAGTTGTCAGTGTCACTGCCGGACAAATGCGAGCAGAGGAGGGTGGTGAAGTTGTCAGTGGCACTGCTGGACTGCAGGGGCGAGCGGAGGGTGGTGAAGTTGTCAGTGGCACTGCCGGACAGGGGCGAGTGGAGGGTGGTGAAGTGGTCAGTGGCACTGCCGGACAGGGGCGAGCGGAGGGTGGTTAATTGGTCAGTGGCACTGCCGGACAGGGGCGAGCACGGGGTGGTGAAGTTGTCAGTGTCACTGCCGGACAAATGCGAGCAGAGGAGGGTGGTGAAGTTGTCAGTGGCACTGCTGGACTGCAGGGGCGAGCGGAGGGTGGTGAAGTTGTCAGTGGCACTGCCGGACAGGGGCGAGCGGAGGGTGGTGAAGTGGTCAGTGGCACTGCCGGACAGGGGCGAGCACGGGGTGGTGAAGTGGTCAGTGGCACTGCCGGACAGGGGTTGGTCAACGGGTCAGTGGCACTGCCGGACAGGGGCGAACGGAGGGTGGTTAATTGGTCAGTGGCACTGCCGGACAGGGATGAACAGAGGGTGGTTAACTAGCCATTGGCACTGCCATAGGATTGGTGCGTGCATGGGTAGGAGTCTTGGGATTTATTGTTCTTTGAAGGAGCGCAGGTAACACAATGGACAGTGTTCTTTGTACACTATCTCAAACGCGCCGCATGTTTCCTAAAACGTCCAAACGATGACGCTAGCATACCAAGTACCTAACGTCTGGTGTGTCCGATCTCGGGACTTTATTTGTGTTTCCTGTGGGTGTTTGGCCTGCGTGCTCCTGGCGAGTTTCTGACTAGCTGACGTCACCGGGGCATAATCCGTCCCCGCGCAGTTTTAGTTGGAGAGTGGGCGGTGGTGACCCCCCGCTCGGCCCGACCCGCCCCGGCGGACAGCAGTCGCCACTCGGACTACCATCGGCACGCCCCCGCCGTCACCAGGACGGCCCTCGCAACAGCGGGCGTACTTACGTCAATGAACAACAACCAACAGCTGGCAGAGATGTGAGGTAGCTTTCATCACTTATTTACGTAGCTTCGCGCTATCTTTGTTTTAGATGTAGAATGGGTTTTCACCCCCATGTGGTAGGTATGTTTGCAAGAGTTGTTTTACGTGAACTCTATCTCTTCAATTTACTACTTGCGTCCTGTCTATGTCAAATTTGGTTTTGCTAGTAGACACACTGTCGTCATTCCGTCAGTATACGCCAGCAATCCTTCAATATCCCGTCCAGATTTTGTCGGTGGAGACAGCTCAGCCATCACCCCGAGGTCCGCTCAATAGGCCATCCATTTTCTGACCGAGAGCCGTCGGCGCTATGTTTTTGAAATAACGCAGAGACGAGCGGCTATACCAATCCGCCTAGCGAGTCCCAGGCCGGATATTCTACAGCTCGCTTCTCCGTAAGCTGTGGCTTGCGGCCGCGTAGCCAATAAGGAAATGGAGAATAACAGACATCCGCCGAAAGGCAGCGGCAATAATTTACATTACACTGTTACATAAGGCTGAACTCTGTTCATTACATTACCCCCACCATATCCACTGTGTGATGAGGGACTGACCGCGGGGGTGTATTACCTTTGTGCATCTTCCTGTCGATGATGATGGACATCTTGTTCCTGCTTCCGGTGACGTCCAGCTCCACCAGCGTCTGCGGGTGGGTCCTGGCGAACCGCTTCGGCCTGATCTTGGTGAGCACGACGAAAAACTCGTCGTTGCTGACATGTCGCTGCAGGTCTTGTGTCAACACTGCAACGGAACGGAGACGAGCTCAGTGTCATTGAACGGATCGGTTACGCGCACGCTGACATCTGGTGACCTCACACCAGCTGACATGTCATGCACATTCCTAACTGTCGCGATAATTGCGCGCAAATAGTTATATTAACGGGACTCTGTGATGTCATAGCGGAAACAGGAGCTGGCATTTTCACTTGGGTGGGCTATAATTTGGTTTGATCAGAGTGATTGACAGCATCCGGTCCGCCGACCGAGCGCCATCTTATTGGAAGTTGCTTTACGTCAGACGTAACAGCAAAGCATAAGCCTGCAGGAGCAGGATCGCATTCGCGATACAAGTAAGTGAACGTCACATTTTAGGCTTTTTACGTTCATTGTAATTTCTAGCAATCCATCAAAGAGGACTAAGACGAATGGAATGGACCGGGAGAGAACGAGGTAAACAATGTTTGAATTCAGAAAGCGTTTTCTCAAAACTGTTATGTCGTTCTCTGGTTAATTCCTTTTGTCCCGCTATTGAGTTATTTATTATTGATTATTCCGCTATTGATACCAATGCCCTCTATTGAGTATCAATCACTATATTTTATTATTATCATTATTTGCTGCGGTAGAGAAGTTATCGATATATTGCTATATCGGATCGTTATACAGCATTTGTCGTAACAGTTAATTCCGGAAATAAGGTGACACATCCAACGATGGGCTGAGGCCACGGATTTTCTCCACCAACCCAAAAAACGGCGACAGAAGCAGCCAGTCGCATCTGAATATCACCGCGTCAAAGCACGCTGGTGACTCGAGTCGTGTGCAGCGATCGCCTCCTCCACAGATAGATGGCTCTGCGAGGTCAGTCGTCACCGAGACTTGTCCGGCGCGCGTGCTATCCACCTCCCAGCCCCTCACCTTTCTGTAAGTTACCGCGAATCAGGGGTTTAAGATGACTTTCTAGCACAGCTGGCCGACCGCGAGATCGATCGAGATCGCCTGTGAAGGGCTCAGCGTCTTGTCTCACCTTATATCTTCATGCCTAAAGGTGAAACTCGCCACGGCTCCACTGAACTCCTTTCGGCTCAGCTCCGAGCGCCTTCGGCAATATGTGGTGGCGGTGGCGCGCGCCCCGATCAGGAATTTGAGGAATGGCGATATCGCTCCATCACCGCGGCCGGACCGAGAAGACGCGCTGTTGTGCCAGAAAGCACGGCACGCCGTGAACGATTTCACAGACTTCCGGCGCAGGTAGGGCCAGTCTTTATCGCCCCCCGTCAGCTCGTTACCAGACACGTTCTGGTTTCAGTAGCTTCCCAGCAGTCGCTTAGTTTACCGCAGCTTTGGGCGGGCCAGCTCGAGGTTAAGCCTTGCCTGGAACAGCAGCTGTGACCTCTGATCGACCTCGGCGGACGGCTCTGCTCCCGGCGACCCCTCTGACTCCGATAAAGGTGGGCCGTTTGGTGACAACCAGGGCGGGGCTGAGCTCCGGAGAGCAGCGACCGCGCCAGGCGGCGGTCTGCCCATCTCATCGCGATGCCCGCCGATACACGGGCTCTGCAGAGGCCGTGGGCAGAGCGTGGGCGCGACCGACAGGCAACACAATCTGCCGCACGGCCCACCGCCCTCTGCTCACAGAGCATCACTCATCGCTCACCTCCCACCGCTCTCCGCTCACCTCCCACCGCTCACAGTCCACAGTCCACTGCTTGCAGTCAACAGTCCATTGAGTCCAATGTCCATCGTTCACCGTCAACCATCCACCGTCCACCGTCCTCCGATCACAGTCCACCGTCCACAGTCCACAGTCCATCGCCAGTAGCTTACAGCGCACCACCCAAAATCCACCACCCTCAGGCCGAAGTGCACAGTCTACAGTCTACAGTCTACAGTCTACAGTCTACAGTCCACCGTCTGCCGTCCGCCGTCCAACGCCCACTGTCCATTGTCCACCGTCCAACACAAGCCACCTAGCTACCCCATTCGCTGACAAGTAGCTGCTGCCAGTAATGAGATTCGCAGACGCGGATTTCTCTGCAGAGTCACTGCTCACTGTTGATCTCTGACCGTCGAATCCCACCAGCCACCGATTTCTCACCACACGGTAGCCAGAAACCTGCATCGTGGTCTGAGCGTTTGTGGCGCCGGGCGTCTGGGCATTGTGGTGTGCAGGCAGTCGATACTGCCGGGATTCGGTCTGCCTCGCTCGGGATTCTGAGCCGAGCCGTCCATGCCTTGACGGCTGACGTCGGCGGCACTAATCCGCCGGCCCGCGGTACGATCCCATAACCTCCTGTAGGCAGGGCAGGCGAGCCATTGAGCCGCCATCGGGCGCCGTTCGCTGCCAGGGGTCCGGGCGGGTGAGGTCGTTTGGCACGCCCGCACGGTGAGACTCGTGACCTGATCCCGGTGCGGCCCTGTGAGACTCGTGAGACTCGGTGAGACTCGTGAGACTCGTGAGATCACGATCCCATGAGACTCGATCCCGGTGAGACTCGTGACCCTGATCCCTGATCACCGTGAGGAGCGCTCACAGCCTTCAGGTAAGAGCGCTCACCTCCTTCAGGTGTGAGGCGCGCTCATCTTCAGATGTGAGGAGCGCTCACTCACTGCAGGTGTGGGGAGCTCACAGCGCCAGTAACCCTGTCAGCTCCGGGACTCTCCCCAATGCGCAGGTGGCTGCACTGGGTGCTAGCAGGGGTGAGGAGAGAAACTCCTTGCTCTTCACCTTATAGTGTCAAACGAGTAATATCACTTTGCTAATGGGTAAAAGGTAGTTTATACTGTGTGTATTGTGCAGCATTGTAAAAAGCTGGATCGGAAAACAGTCATCGAATCATCGTCTGGACATATTCGAGCACATCCACAGTATCGGAGTCACTCAGTAGATATCATGGTGGAAGGATGTAAGCTTCAGTAAGCTACTTATCGCTGCATACATAAATGTAAAAAGGCTGTAATGTGCAAATGGATCCTGTGAACAACAACGGTGGTCGGAGGAGCTTTGTCAGTGCTGCACACTGAGGCTTATCGCTAAAGCTTACAGAGAGAAAAGGTCGCAATGCTGTAATGTAATCTCAAGAACGTTGAAGCATACAGACAGAGGAAATGTTCTGAAGCACGATTGTGATTATGTAGGTATTGTATCAGATTCATCCATATATCAAATGACATCATTACTTTGAGGATCATTGCTTAGTGTGTAGCTTTCGCCATTTCTTTTATTATAGGTATTCTGATGAGGGCTTAGCGGAGTGCGACGTTAGCCAGCAAACTAGCTCGTAAACAAATCAGAGCTGTGCTGGGTGTTCTTGGACGTCAAACTGCAATGTCTCACTTGATGCTTCTTCGTTTTGCGTTGATACAAGCAGCAAGGTCCATTTATCTGTCCATACACCAAATGTCATTGAATCTCCCTCCACCTGTTCAGTTTTCATTCCTCCCTCCGCCCTCCAATCACTCTGTCATTCCCATCCAGTGCGCCTGTCCATCATCTCAGTTCCGGTTCTCTGCACCAGCCGCGGTGTCTGTAGCTCTCAGCTCTGCCCCACCCCACCCCACCTGTCCACAGCTCTCTCCCCCGTGCCTCTCCGTCAGTCTTCATCTCCACATCTGCCCCCTGGAATCACACCTACGTCCCACCTGACTGAACTTCTCACAACGCCCCGCCTCGCTCTCATCCTCTACCCTCTCCCTCTCTAGGGAGCCCCCCCCCCCCCAGCTGCCTCCATCTCTCACTCCGCCCCGCCCCCTCCCGTCCTGTGGCTGCGCCTCATTGTTCTCTGCATTAATTGCAAGGCCACGCCGAGTGGCGAGCCGGCTGTAATTGGCGACCCAGCCACCGACCGCCGACCGCCTGATTGCCGCTCTGAAGACAGACACCCGAGCTGGGTGCTGACGGAGCTGCGGGTTCTCCCCCTCCCTTCCCCTCCCCTGCAGCTGAGGCAGGGCGACGCGGTGCTCCACCCAGTCCCCGCCCGAGCCTCCGTCCCCTGACGAGTATTGAGGAGCTAGAGAGAGAGTCACCATGGAATATGGATTATTTTATGTAGTCCCGAAGAAAAGAAAAGAAAACAACTTGCCTTAGGATCCAACAGGAAATAAGTTTATTCATTTCGAGGCTTGGCCGTCCTACTAGTAGCTGTGTCAGCATTGCCATATCAGCCTTAAGGCCGTTGCCACATGGCATGCAGCGACGAAACACATTTAACAAAAATACATGCAGTGAAAATATAGATGAAAATTATTTCCACAGATCTGGATATCAAAGTGTACAGAAGACATCCGTATATCTCCCTTTGGCACAGCCGTTCTAAGGGAGCCAACTTCCCGAATCCATTATTGATATGCCTATCAATAACACTCTCTTCTAATGATTTCAAACGAGGATAATATGAACGCTTCAGTGGCCGCTGGCGAATGTCAATGAGGCCCCCGACCGAGCTCGACACGCTACTCTGCATACGCCGGCAACATTAGCGCTGTATATGCTCGCTGCTTGACGAGAGGAGATGCATCTCCCGACGCATCGCTCTAAGGTAAGATATAGAGGTTATTTGTGTGCGGTGAATCACTTTGGCGAATGCGTTGATAGCGGGCATTCGTTTGTAATATGAACACTCATATCACTCAAGCCATGCTGAGTGGAAAGATATTGAAACACATGGGTCATCATATTCTAATGCTTCATTTAACCTTAAAAGCAGCTTTTTGTATTTTTAGGCACAAATGCATGTCTTACTAAAAGGTCATCCATCCTAAAAAGTCGATTGCGTATGGAGGACATCTCTCACCAGAGACGTTGCCGCCAATCTGCTCGCCTGCCCGCCTGCCCGCCTGTCTGTCTGTCTGTCTGTCTGTCTGTCTGTCTGTCTGTCTGTCTGTATGTCTGTCTGTCTGTCTGTCTGTCTGTCTGTCTGTCCTCTGCAGTAGGTATCATCAGACGGTCGGGTATGGGACGAGCTGACATCACTGCAACTACAGGCGCGTGTGTAACGACAGACATGTGTGCCTCCGAGCGATGACGAAGGACGGCAATGGCAGTCGGGTAACGCCCTGCAAAGTCCGGCCAGCAGGAAATGTGACGTAGCTATAGCAGAAAATGCGATAGTTTCACGTCCGGCTGGCGGTAAAGTCAACAAGTTCACGCGTGAGAAGAGGAGTAACGGTGGCAGGGAAGGCTAAAATAGAGAGAGGATCGCAGAAGTAAAACTACGAGAAGCCACAAAATGAAACTGCCCCAGCTGAACAAACGTCTTGTGGTGCAGCAGATGCAAGTGAAGCACGGCTGAGGAGTAGCAAGGCGAGGATTAAACGGAGTGGAACATCACAGAGCAGCCGCTTCTCGAATGGTGCAGGTTGTGTGACTGCAGGGCAACTGTTGAGGCCGCCATTTTTGTGGGACGCTGTTACTGTGATTTTGCTCCCCAGAATCAAAAGCATGTCATGGAGGAACGAAGGAACGTATGGGGCATTCCACGTCAAATCGAACAAAAATCGGCTGTTTTGCACCTTACCATCAGCGATTTCATTATAAATTTGTGAGCGAGTTCCTGTGTCGCCCCGGACATTACATTGATGTTTTTTGCACATTCTGACCACAGGTCTTCTAAATATAGGGCATCAAATTTTTACAAAATGTTGCATCTTTATATTTTTGAACGACCATAACTTTGGTTGTACTTGTTTGATTTGAATGAAATAAACCTTACTGTTTAGGTAATTTCTTAAGCATTTGTTTAGAATTGCATTGACTTAAATATATGACCTTGAAATTTGCTTAACTCTGTTCTTAAGCACAAAAATTGAAATAGCAAAAAACACGCCACCTTCGATTTGGCTCATTTTCATATATTTTATTGCCTACCATATTCTTAACAACCTGTGAAAAAATTAGAGTGGGCCATTCATAAGTTTTGAAGAAAATGGCACATATGCAAACGTATGTTAGCACGCGCAGTGGAGGGGGAAGAGTGAATTTCGCCCCACCCCTCCTGTTTTTCGCCAATATCTCATAATATTGATGCGAAATTACTTATGGCTACCTGTCCAGAATTGAATTGCACATCTCATCGTGCAAGCAATAAGAAAATAGGTTCACAACTGTTCTAGTTATAGCGGTGTAAAGTGAACATCCTGTCGCCGCGGCGACGTGGCGACTCGGCAGCCGGCGCCGACCGCTACGCGCCGCCTGAATTGTAGACTGTGCCGGGACGTAACGGAACGGTTCCGTCTTTACATCGCGCTCCTTACCGCTGATTACGTTCGATTCGCGTCAAATTTTGTGAGAAGACTAAGAAATGTACAGGCAATCTTATGGTGAAAGAATTCTGAAAATAGGTTGGTAAACAATTGAAATATGAACGTGTAAACACAAAATTGTGACTGCTGCGTTTCCCGCGTCGGCCGATCCCGCCAAGCCGGCGACATGTTACTCTTAGCAGGACTCTAACTGCCATATTTATTATCGGATTTACTAGAAATTCCCCATACATACTCAAAAATGTATGTTCTTTCGTGTAGTGAAGATCAAAAGACGTGAAGATATCGTTGCGTGATAATGTTTTCGTTGAATTTATTTCATGATGCATTTCCACACGGCTCAAAATTCACCGCAAAATACCAATTGCCTGAGACACTTTTACAATGGAACGTGCATGCTTGACTACGATTACTATGCATTTCCATTCTCGCAGAGTTTGGGATATCACTAATCAGCAATCATTCATTTCAGAAAGTGTACACAAGCAAGCATGTCTTGACTCTGTCTTTCAAGGTCACGCGCGGTTGCGTGATGTTGATGCATGAAAACGGCGTTTGCCGCGAAAGTTATGAATGGCCCACTCCAATTTTTTCACAGATGGTTAGGAACATTGTGACGGACATAATATGTAAAAATTACTCAAATCGAAGGTGGCGTGTTTTTTGCTATTTAAATTTTTCTGTTTTAATTCAAGGTCAAATGCATTTCAAGGTCACTTCAATTTAATTTTATAATTAAAAATCAAAGCCTTATCAATTGCCTACAAGACCCTGTTAATATCATTTTGATACCAGAAAAGGAACCAGAGTTATAAGCATTTAAAAAATGATGTGTGGCATTTTTGGCTATATTCGATGACCTATATCTCGGCGATACGTTATCAAATTTCGAAAATATTACACGTAACTCAGTTTTGAACCATGCCCAGTCTGCCTACAAATTTTCAGAAAAATCGAAGGGGATGACGGATTTCGGTGTTTGATTTGACGTATGTTGTTTGTTTTTTTAATGACCTTAAGTAAAAACAAAAACTCACTAAGTGATGATATGAAACGCTTGTGTTATTTTTGTCACTTGAATGTCCTACATTCAAAGCTTTTAGGATTTCAGCACGTCAAAATGCTCAGCCATTGGGTTCCGCCTTCAGCAGGGTGTGTCCCCATCTCGTCCGGTCTGTGTTGACATTTTCCCATCACAACACCGGCCTGTCTCGTCTCGACCGATCCGCTCCGCTGTCATGTATATTTGGTCGCCGCTGCTGGCCACACAGCCCGAGGTCGGCTGTCGACCGGCGAACAGGGGGCGACCTCGCGTCGACGGCGGGGGGGGGGGGGGGGCGTCGACGGCGGGGCGTGGATAGCGGAGGGCGGCAAAAAAGGTGGCGAACAGGCGAGTCGGTGGTAGCACCGACAGCAGCAGTAATACAGCTCAGGCAAGCAGCTGCGACCATCAACCACCAAAGTTTTTACAAGTGAGTTTGCGATCGGCGCGAGGAGGCTGCTTTGAAGATGTGGAAGCGTTTCGCTGTTTATTGATTGAATATGCCGTGTCGTGGGTGTGAGATCCGTTATGCACCTGTCATGTCTTCGTCTGCAGTGTTTTTAGATATGGTAGCTGTGCAGTCGGAAACGGCCAGGATTCGATTGCGGAAGTGAGAAGTGATATTTTGCTTTATGGTGCTCAACGCTGCCTCGCATTAGAAGGGAATGCTCTCTATAGGGTAAGGGCGGGTAAGAGTTCACTCAATATACCCTGGGTAAGAGTACGCGGGCGATAAGAGTACGCATCAGCTGTTTCGGTTGCTTAGCAACGCGGGTTTGTCGAGTTCATGAAGTGACATGAAGCCGCCAGTGCGTGCATGTCACCAACGGAACGTGGGCGTTGAGCGGCGACGCTGTTGAGCTTAAGGCGATGAATATTATTTTCGAGCGTTATGATAATATTATGATATGGTACAATAATTTTGATACTTGGCAGTTGAGATAAGGTACATTTCCGTGATTGTTGTGGGAAACTTGTGAGGTTATATCTGGGGAAATACTGTACAGTGCAATATTCTGTTTGCGAAGTTTTGCACAACGTTTCGGGGTTGTTTTGTGCGCGAATTGCATGTACGGTAAGAGGACGCACTGTTCAGGAGGGTAAGAGTACGCAGAATTATACATAAAATCGAATATACAGAAATATAGAATTATTAATCTATCGCTCAATGACGTTTGTTTTGTAGGTAGGTATATCATCAATGGAGCACTGTGATGCAGATGCGTACCCGAAATTCTTCCAAATACGAGTTATTCTCCTTTTTGATTGTGCATTTTTTAAAGAAACACACGACATTATTATTTCCTGATTTATAGACTTGAAAGATTTATTTTATGTTTTTCTTTTTGGATACTTGAATTAACTTAAATGCCTTCTGAGTTTGAAGTTAAGTATTTGGACAGTGCAAGCTGCATAGGTGTGTGTTCATATGCTTGCGTACTCCACCCGCCTGGCGTGCGTACTCTTACACACCCCATATGGTAAGAGTACGCAAGTGCAACGGTTCAGAAAATGTCAGTTTTAGACCACTTCCATTTACGCTGAAGGATCGTTGCCCCATGGGTTGATGGCTAATTCAATGAACTTTGATATTCCCTATTTGCGATTTCTTTCCTTCAAATATTAAACAAATGAGAGCAAGAAATCCACTAAGTGCGTACTCTTATACGACTTCACCCTACCTATGACCTCCATAATGTCAGAATAAGCAGAAGCTGAGCAAACGTCTGTGGTGAGTTATAGGTATGACAGGCTCCTAGGAAGGATAACTCGTCACCATGAGCTGGTGGTGTTTTTTGCGAGCACCAGCGCCGGTGAGTTCTCTGGGTGTTGGTGCCAGTGGTGCTGCTGGGCACCAGGAGCGGTGGCGGGCCCTCACAGACCCCCGGCGAGCGCGTGCGCGCGGTGGAGCCAGGCTCGGTCGCGGGGCATAAACGGTCGGCGCGCCAAAGGCATGGAACGGCCGCCTGCAGGACAGTAAACCGTGAGCCGCCGTGTGATAAACCGGAATACGTTGGCCACCGTCGGCGCCGGCAGGTGAAAAGATATGTACAGTCGTGTACAGGTTGATGGTCCTCTACTCTTTATCCACCGGGTTCCTATGGCTCAGCGTTGGCAGCAGCCGCCTAGTACCGGTAGGCTGTGCCGCATGACCCGAGAGTGAAGCGGCACAGCCTACCTGCACACTGTATGACACCGGCTCGGGTCGCCTGGTAAAGCGATTTGACCGGACGCTGCGTTACACCGGCTGGGGGGAGGGGGGGTAAGGGTCAGGCCTGTCAATTTGGCTCGGCTCGGTGGATGAGGCGGGCTGGAGTGTGGTGTGGGGCGGGGGTGATGTGGGGAGGGAGTGAGCGGACCTGGGGCTGGGTGTGTGTGCTCACTTGTCGCATAGAACCGATCGTAATCCACCCTCCAAAAATTCGCTTTATAGATATTCACAAAACCCAGGGGGGTTCAAACACCCATCTCCCAATTAGGGTGCGGAAAGACAGGTAAGGGTCCATACGGTCTCCTCATGAATTGCAGCAAAGAAAGAACAGGTCAGTCACCAAATATTCTTTCTGAAAAGTGGACTAATCGCAAAGCCTCCCACACAGAAATAAACATCCAGCACGCGAAGCGTCTCGAACCGGGCCTCTCACTACCGGACAGTTTGACAGTCTAGGGCCGGGGGGATCCAGGGCGTCGCAAGTCCATCTACGACACGTCGCAAGTTACGACACATGTCCCGTCGCAAGTTGTGTCGTAGCGAAAAAGGAGGGATGTTGAGGAAAGAGGGGTTTGTCGGAGGATACGACAGAACGTAGCTGCGACAAGGTTTAAATACCCGCTCTACTCGAGAATTTAAAAGGCTACACGATCAGCTGATCCCGTAGTAAGCGTCAGTAAGGTCGAAAACTCTATCAAGCATAAAGGAACATTCGCCCTTCTGGTTTGCGAGCTTATGAGACAGCCAGTTCAAGCATGTTCTCTGATTCTGAAGCTTTGTCTCAACTGGGTGACTTGTGGTTGCTAACGCTCACGTGAGTTGCGATGAATTTTGGGATCGATGACAGGAGATTCGTGGCGCTATAGGGCATCTAGAAGCGATGCTTTAGAAGAAATGAGTTAAGAGAGTATGAGGTCACAGAGAGCTAGTAGAGTTGGAGATTGAGGTCACA